TAAGCACGTAATGTTTTGAAACTGTTTGGTAATTGAATTTGTGGTTCGAACCTTCCAACAACGCTTTGGGTCCTTGATTTGGACTCATTTGGGCTCGGATTGAGTAGAATTTTGTGTCGTTGGGTTTGTATTTCCGAGACGTTCAGTTTGACTATAAGTTTGCTGAAATCAGAGTTTGGATGGTCCCAGTTTTAATTTTGGAAGTTTTCAACTTGATTTTGCCTCGAGATTCGTGCCCGATCAGATAATTTTTTGATAACTTATCAATTCTAACGTATGATTTTCTTGAGTTGTCTATAGCTTTTTATAAAAGTGATTGTAAAGTTGTTGTGATGAAAGTAACTTTTTTGAAAATTATTGTAAAAGGTATCTTCCTTGCACAAAAATTTATTTAAAACAATAGAAAAATATTACTCAAATAAAAATTATAATTATGATATGAAAAATAAAATATAAGAAAGTTATCTCAAAGATATCCTTAATTTATCTATGTACTTATTCAATTCTAATCATAAAAGAGTCCTAACCATTATATATTTAATTTTCTATTCATAAAAGATTTTGAAGCTATTTCAAACCTTCTTCATAAAGCAAAATGTTGAAAACGGACTTTTCAAAAGCAGCCAAATCTTTTTCAGTGCTGCTTCTTGTAGCCTAGAAAAAGATAAAAAAAGAATGACTGAACCCAACTCAAGTAAGCGACAAACTCCATGCCTTGAGAACAAGCTCAGTCCTCCAAATAAAACAAAATTAATTTAGGTTTTACAGAAATAATCAGATTAAATTCAGCCAACTGAACAGTAGTTATAGACGCCATATTGCAAAGTTTTCATATTCAACACTAATCCTAAAGCAAATCCAACTGCTTGTAAACTTATCAACATAATTTGCATGGGTATATTTTGAAGTAGTTTTCTTTTTTCCTCGTCAAATACTTTATAATAATGAAGATAAATTATGATACGCTAAAATTAGGGCGTGAATTACAGGGGTTTCGAAATAAAGGCAAGTGCATCATTGATCAGATATATTTTAATCTAAAAGCTAAATATTATGAGTGTGCGAGGACTAATCTTTCATATTTGTTCACTAATATATTTTTCAACTATTGGATATGTTAGGATTAGGTCAGTTTAAGGTTAAGTTGGTCCGCAAGAATCACATTGTTATCAATGTCTATATATTGATGCTATAGGTTGATATATATATTGGTGGAGAAAATTGAATACTTTTTTCCCTCCAAAAAATATGTTCTCCCCTTCTACCATTTCTCTCCCAGAATTCTTCTAGAAATCCCAACAAATTGGTACCATAGATAGGTGTGGATGTGGAGAGGAGGCAATCGGGTTGCTGGTGACACACGCTGAGGAAAGAAGGCCAGGTGAGGTTGTCGCGGGTATGGTCATAGGAGATGTGCAGGATGCAGGCTTGGGTGGTGTGCATAGAAGCGGGTGAGCCGCATGTGAAGCTGGGAGCACGAATGGTTGCGAGAGCATGGATTGCGCGGTAGAACACAAGATGGACTCGCGGGCGAACGAGCTAGAGGATGCACGTAGGGCCTAGGTCATGCGTGAGCGCGGGCGTGCCGCTCAGGCGCGTGTGTGAGCCGGTCCTGGGCCATGGTTCGTGGATGTCACGACTTCGGTTGTGTGAGGCAGAGAGGCCGGAGGCGTCGTTTGTGATTCACAAGGAGGTAATTGGTCGAGGCTTGTTCTCACAGGCTTGTACTTAGCAGATGTCGGATAGTTGTGTTCGCATGAGACTCGATCTAGTAAGTTTGTGTGAGGTCGGACGAGTTGCAAGGAGCGGGAGACTGCACGTGAAGGCGAAGTGGGTCGGGACCGCAAGTGGGAGTGAAAAACGCGGTTTGGTTCTGTGATAGGGAACTCAGAGCAGTTGGTGCCATTCCTGTGTAACGTAGGAGTCAGACACAAGCAGCAATGAAATTTTCTTAGCTATTTTAGATGAAATCTTATGCATGGGAGTAGGTTGGTACCAGACGGGCGCAAATCGAGTGTCATGATCCGGCGCATGACCAATTGAAGCGTTATTAGCTTGTTCTTAATTAAAATATTTATTTAAATTTTTTTAGGTGGAGCCTCCTGGTCAGAACAAGGGCAGATCGACAAGCAATGTTTCTTGATTTTAGTGTGTTAGAGTAGTGGAGACAAAAGCAGTTGATCAAGAACCTCGGGGCGGCAGGATCAAGAATCTCGAAGCAGATCATATGGGAGTCAGTTGCGTGCATGAGAATGTGCAAGAAGCGGGCACCGGAATCGGATTGGTGGGTTGTGCGAAGTTGCAGGTCAAAGCCCGCATGGGTGTCCGGGGAAGACAAGTTTGATGTATTGGTGGGGAAAATTGAATAAAGTTTTGTTTTCCTGCAAAAAATATGTTTTCCTCACTCCCATTTCTCTCCAAGATTCGTTCAAGAAATCCCAATAGGATATGACTCTAAACCCATTAGTCTCAATTGCTTTTAAATTTATAAGACAGTTTCATGCACATAATAGTGATCATTAAGATTTGTTATGGGACAACTTTATTACTACTTTCTAAAGCAATTTTTATATCAAAATTATTGGGTTTTCTTAGAGGAAGAAAAGTTCTTCTTGAATGTAGAGGGAGAGACTGAGGGAGAGAGCTCACTATTCTTTTACATAATTCTTATTGCTCGGCTAGAAGATCAAACCTATTACAATTTTTTCAATTATTTAAAGACAGACCTATAAAAAACTCTAACTAATGACTATACAAGTCTACACAAAGAAGTGCCAACAGAAATTACTCCTATAACTAACATGAAATTGGGTCAAATACTAACAAAAAATTAGCAACCTAAATATAGTGAGTTTTAATTATTTATTTTTCTAATATTTTAAAAAATAAAAGTTAAACAAAAAAAGTAAAGCTTTAGTCCCAATTTTAAAATCTATATACCCAAAATTTAATATTTAGCATCATTTAAAAAGTTCTAAGTGTAATTCAAATTTCTTACAGGACCTTACTTTTTATAAAAAATTATTCGTAAAATATATTAAATTTAATACAATTTTATTTAAATGTTATTTTAATTTTATAGATTAAATGTCGATACAAATTAAAATAGAGTTATAAGATTTTTGAAATTTTATAGTAGAATTTCTATAATTAATTTCTCATCAAATTTTTATCCTAAACTCGCATATAAAGTGTTAATACAGTAACAGTTAAGCACATTGTTTTTTACTCTTTCGGATGAGGGGCCTGAACACTTCTGAATAGATCGGACGATGTGGGCTGGCCCAATCACAATCCTAACAGAAACGAATGCTTATATAGCTGGCCATTTATGATATCATCATAATTGTTATACCCACTGCGGGGTGGCCTGGTGGTGGAGAACTGGCTGGCCATAGGCTATGTACCGAGTTCGAATCCTCTCGGCGCTTCGTGCAAGCCTTAAGTTTTGGCCCGTGTAAATTGGTGTGGGTTGCATGCTAGGTCGACCGGGTTATCCCCTAACCGGGATGATCTGTTTATTTTATTTTTATCATAATTGTTATATTTGAACATTCCAATTAATTAAAAATTAATGATGGTATTTTTTTTTATAAATATATCAGAATATTCTAAGCTAAAATAGAGAAACAATTTTTTTTTTCATTTTTTAAAATAAATTTGAAAATATAAGTATAAATATGATGTAGAAGATATTTGGTCTTATAATTTTTATAATTATTTTAAAGACCATTTAACGATTAAAAAAATTGGTACGCGCGAAATGACGACGAATTCTAAGTTTTTTTTATTTATTTGTGCTTAGTTTGTTAAAGCATTTATTTCTTAAATTTGAATAACATTTCTTAGCAAGTGAAAATTTAGCGGCCCCACCCTAAGCAAATATCTTGGTGATGCAAGTCGGATTGAATGAGCTATTCTAAATTGAAGTTTATATATATATTGATTGAGCATAACCTTGGTGCAAAATTGAAGAGTGGAATTTTCAATATTGAACTAAAGATGATTCAAATTTTAATTTCAACGAAGTTGTAGTCAAAATGATCGGCTTGACGAGATGAATCCAACAACATCTGAAACAATTCAATTCGAGCCCAAATGAACTTGGATCAAACACTTAATGCATATATGGACGTTTTGGGACATTAATTAAATGATTTTCAAATTTTGCATACTTTTAGCCGAATTGAGCATATCAAAGTGCAAATCAAATGAGTCTAAGATAACTTAATTCATGCATCAATAAGTCAATTAAATACTGAGAGAATGATCTATGATCAAGGGAAGTAATATGAATCATCTAATGAAGTACATCATATTTTTCTATATTTTTGTTGAATGTCACCACTAATGCTTTGAATTAGAGCCATCAAGTTGCCGCTAACTGACTATCATTATTACACATCTACTACCCGACAATCTTCTTCAAACTACTACAATCATTGGATCAACGTTATCACACCATTGGTGCCCCACCATTGTTATCATTGATGATCTGCGACAAGCGGTACAGGGGTGACGACGCCTAACCAATATAACTTTTACCCAAATTGTGTATTTATAATTGACTCAAAAAGGACAATTTTTAATTACACGCAAAACGAACTAGATGTGATTTTTAAACACACATCCAAAATAAAAAAAAAATCATTTAAAATGCAACTACTCAAACACCCACATTTTTTAAATTTATGTATTTATTTTATTTTACACTCAAAATATAGCCAACCTAATAGCCCTTCAAGTATGCGCAAATTCTTTTAAACTAACGTAATCTTAGGAAGAAAATTTAAAATTTTTGCCTAACCTAACTCCAATATGATTCGGCCCCATGTCTCCATCCTCGATCTAGTATCAATTCCTTCCTCTCCAACTTATCGAATCCAATTCCTTCCACTTCCCCGCACCCAACGCACCGCCATTCCACTCCCACTTAAACAAACCCCCAAAGCATCTAATCCCTTTCTATCTCAACATACCTCATCATCACCTCCACCACTATAATACATTCATCTCCAAGCCCAACCTCTTCCGCATAAAAATCAGCCATGCCTTGGTTCCTCGGTGAACGAAGAGGTCCCCAATGGAAGCAGGGATGGAGAGCTCAGACTCTCAACTCTCTCTCTCTCCCGCCGGCACCTCTCGTCGCAATCTTCGCCATCGTCTTGCTATTCCTCTCGCTGCCTTCCTCATCGAGGAAGGGATATAGGGAGAGGGTGGAGCGCGCAGAGGTGGGGCTTCGGCTGCTTCTGCTACTCGTGCCGCTGATGCTTGTATTTGCGGCGAAGTTGTTAGTTGTGGATGGGAGGTTGGTGCTACGGCCAAGGGTGCTAAGGGAGGAGCAGGAAGGGATACATAGGGGAGGAAGCTCGCCGTGGGTGATGGCGGCGCTGGTGGTTTTCCTGCTTGTTTTGGTTTCCTTTCATTCTTCGTTTGAGTCGCAGTGGTTCAGGCCTCTGTGGCGGTGATTTTAGAGAGAAATAATTGGGTCAGGTCACGCAATGTGTTCGAAGTCCAATAAAAATGTGCCACATTACTTACTATTCGATATTAAGCAATACCAATCAGTACCGAGCTTAGTACCAAGCTCAGTACTGCTCGGTACTCAATACCTCACAGTACCGAACTCAATAATGCTCAGTATTGTAAATACCGAACGTAAGATGTTTTCGATAACCTGACCCAATAATTAAACAAAGGGCCATTTGGAGGTTGTGTTGTATACTTGTATGTAGAGGAAGGTGCGTGTATGTTTGGCGGGTTATATTTTGTTATAGATTACCGTGTATAAATATAATATTATATGATAATAAAGAAAAAAATAATATTAAGATATTTTGATTAAAAGTGGTTAGCATAGATCTAACCCCTTTTTGAATCATTTAAAAACAAATTTAAATATTTTGAGATTTATCATAAACAAAATTTTAATTAGAATATCATAATGTTTTTTTTTTCTAATAGCATAGAAGAGGTGACTCTCATCCTCTCTTGATATTATAAAACATCATATATTTATGTGTTCGATATGAAAAATCATTTTAAATTTTTTATTAATTAGATATAATATAAAAAATGGTAAATTATTTAATATCCTCTCGACTCAAATTTTAATTCCGCCATTATATATTCGTATGTACCTTATTACGAGAAGCTGGCTTTTTTATGTAAGAGAAGTATGGGTGATGTAACATATAGGGGTGTCAATTTCGGGTCACGGGTCGGGTTCGGGTTGAACCCGAACTGACCTGAGTTCAAACGGGTCAACCCTAACCCGACCAGGGTAGAGAAACGGGTCGAAAAACCGAACCCGGACCCGACCCGGCGGGTTGCCGGGTTGACACGACCCGACCCGGTTTGGGTGGCCGGCGCCGGAACCGCGGCGGCCGACGGCGGCGGACGCGAGCGCGACTGCCAGCACGCGGCAGCGCGCGGGGGCAGCGGGGCAGCAGCGCGGGCAGTGGGGTAGCGGGCAACAGACAAAGGGCGGGAATTTGAAATTTTTTAAATTAAACGGGTTGACCCGGCAACCCGCCGGGTCAACCCGAACCCGACCCGTTTTTTGAAACGGGTCGATTTCTGGAACCCGAACCCGACCCGTTTTGAAATCGGGTCGGGTTCAACCCGGATTTTCCGGGTCGGGTCCGGGTCGGGTTTTCGTGTCGTGTCAAATATTGACACCCCTAGTAACATATGAGATGCGTTCATATTTGAATTTTGTTTTGGGTGTGGGTTATGAATAAAAAATGCTTATAAAAAAAACATTTTCATAGAGTTGATATTAGGAATGAAAAAAATATTATTAAATAAAATTTTGAATTTGTATTTCATCGATGAAGTAGATATTTTGCACTGGTCGAAATATTTTTTATACATTTAATGTTTATTTTTCTTGTTAAATTATATAGGATGTTTTTAATGAATTTGATCAGATATAATGAAATGGTAGCTTTAAAAAGAGAAAATGGTGATTAATATATTGATGGATTCGATTGTAGAATTTGACCTGGCAAGAGAAGGGAGGAAGCTAGCAAATTTAAATAACTCAAATCTCTATTTGAATGATTTGTGTCGGAATAATTTATTTATATCACTCAACTTGATAGTTTTTTTTAGTGGAATCTGATTGTGTGGATCAATTGAGTTGTTTTTGTTGATTCAAAACTAACACTACAAAAATAAGGATTCTAGGCATCATTCAAAGCGGTGATTTGCAAACTGCAGCCATAGATCTATTTAGACACTGGTTTTAACCGGTGCTAATAACTAATTAATATCTGGTTGTGCATATGTATCCCTTGCCCTAGCTCTACGTGTGCAATCTCCTTCGCGATTGGCCCACTTTTCTGCTCGAGCTCCATTTGGCGAGCATCCACGAGCGACCAATCGTCCCAATGCCTAGCCAATCCACTGCAGCCGCCACGCGTGCACAGTCTCCTACCGCTTTAGATCCATTCGGCGATCTACTGCATCTTCCGCCCGAGCTCCATTCGTTGAGGATCCAATAGAGACCGCTTGTCCATACACCAAGTCAATCCACCACAACCATCATATCTTAGCTCGTGGAGGTCGTAGCTTGTCCTAGCTCCGCAAATTCTCTCTCTTTCAATCTTCTTCAGGTAAGTCCGCCAGCACGAAATCCATTACATGATATTTCATAGAAGAGTAGATGATTGTACCAATTTAAATTATGATTTCTCTTTATTAAGAGATTCAATAGTTTTCTCAAGTGTCTGAATTGTAACGACTTGATTATTTGGATGACTTCACATTTATAGAGTTCAAAGTTTGTAGTTGTTCAAATCTGATTTCAATCAACAACTTTCGAATACTTTTCTAGTTCTTATAACGAGTTGATTAAAACATCTCAAATTTTATTATTTTATAAGTTGATTATTGGAAATACTGTGAAACCAATTTCAGTTTGAATGTAAATTTTGTGAATTGAGCGTCATGATTTTATTTTCCAAGTTTTTTAGGAAAGTAGCTATTATTTAAACAACCCTTATGTGAATTGAAATTGTCTTTGTGTTAATTTATGAAGATGAAATAATCGATTTTGTTGTGTTAAATGCTTCTAGTTTTGAAGTGAGGTTGCAAGTTCAAATTGAGCTTGAGATTATAAGTATTATTTATTATATATAAGCATTGCTTGCAGCCTCTTTTCTTTTTGGTGCCCTTACTATACATACATATATATATTACTATACATAATATAATATAATTAGGCAAAAGGCGAAGTACAAGCTCTTAGATAACCAGGTAGTGAGGGCAAGGGGAAAGAGGAGGATGGAAGGGAAGCTCTTAAGTAGGGCTGCAAACGAACCGAGCCGAGCTGAGTTTAGGTATGTTATGTAAAATTTACATAAATAAACTTCCAACCATTGTTCGTCATAGTGATTAACAAATATTTTACAATGACTTTCCTAAATAAATCATTAACAAGCATGTCATCATCTCCTTCACGGTGCCAAAGCTTTAAGCTGAAAATCCTTCTCAAGGATTTTCAGATTTTTGTATGAAATAGTTTGGAAAATATAATTAAAAAAATCAATTTGTATATTCATTATACCAGTTAAAATTGTATAGTTCAAATGCAATTTTCTCTCTAACTTCAATCATTTCTTTAACACCTTTGCCGTCACCAAACTTTATTTCGGCATCTAACACATTAGTTTGTTCAACTTTCTCTCCTACTCTGCATTAATGTCTCTCGATGAATAAAATTTTCATTAATCTTACAGTCTAAAAATTTTGTATCATTTCGTGATGTATGTCGCCAAATAGAATTATGTAATCTCATGGTAGCAACAACAATAAGACGCTGCTTCTTAAAGCTATAATTTGGCATCTCTCTTAATATTCACTATTTCTTTTTCAATACACCAAACACTCATTCAATTACACTCCTTAGTGAGGAATGTCTGCTATTAAAAATTTCTTCATGCCCCCTTATCGTTCTACTATCTCTTCTAAAATATGGTATGTGATATCTTGTTCTCAAGCACGGCTTCAAATATCTCCCATCTAAATAGGATCACAATCTCTCTACTAAATTATTCAAAAGACTAATTATAATTTGAAGAGGCCAATTAAGACATTATAAAGCTACTTGAATTCACTAACAGTGATATGCACTAGTGCTTTGAGTCTTTATAAGAAGTTCGCTCTCATGACTATATTCCGTAATGAATCAAACATATGAAATAAATTTATTTGAAAAATATAAAAATTTTGAAGTAGAGCGCATTGGTGTTGATATGACGAGCACTGTAGCGTTAGATCATAAATAATATATATATATCCTGGCTCACCCCACCAACTCCCTCATTTGGTTGTTTGACTATGAAGAAATTAAAATAAGAGAAGAAGTGAAAAGAGAGAGAAAGGTCTTTGGATCATATTTATTAGTCATTCATATTACATATTTTATTTTATTCGTTATAAGTGACTAATTTCTTATTTATGCTTTCAATAATTTTAATTTCTATGGATTTTGTCTCTACTAAATCAGTCAAAAATGCATTATCTCCTAATTTTATAAGCTTTCACCATGCAAGTTTGGATATTATAATTTAATCATTCTGAATAATTGATATAATTTTATTACATTTTAAATGAAGTGTTGAATGATATTATATACATGATATAATAACTCCACGTGATACCGTACTATCCACATGATTTACTAATTGGGAGTCATAAAGAGTTGTAAATTGATTGAGAGTTATAAGGAGTCTGGACGACTGATTCATGCAATTCAAAGATAGTTATAAAGAGTATATTGTTTAGAAGATATTAGTACAGGATCAAGATACATTTAGGATACACTCATTGAATATCTGAATATTGATATCGACACTATTACAGACACTGTACTACTGTTTTGACTGACACTAATAATGTTTACTATATCATTAATACTATTTAATGTTATTGATCATAATACTAATATAGTTATTGACATTAATAGTATAATTGATGATGTAATGAATTGAGATGTAATGAACTATAGAATGATAAATTGATACAGATAATCGGTAAAGACATTGATACATATATTATTTATATGATTTATAATCTTGCATATATTCCAGTTATAAAATTTTAATTATTTGCTAGGTTATGTGCTCCTTACATAATTTTATATGTTTTAAGGAAAGGATAATGATCTTATGATATGAGGCTTCGAACAACATAATTTTTATAATTTCAATTCTAGATAAAATACAATCATGTTTTTTTTTCTATTGTTTATTAGTAAGCTTTAGTTAAATTGTTAAAATGAAAGATCGATATAATTATTCTAATATAGATCATGGAGCGTAATATATCCATATTATTGATTTACAAGTCATTGGCAGTCGTCAATGGTTTATTTCATTATAGGATTTGAAGTGCTTGAGGCCATCTTTGATGAGTAAATATTAGTAGTTATGTGTGGAATCTTATTGTGTCAATCAATCGAGTTGTATTATTTTGTCGAAACTCAATTCCAATGGTCTAGATCATCGGGGGTCCTTTGTCTACTAGAGAAAGCGACAGAGAGCAAAGCGTATATCACTTCGGCGCTATGTACTTGAATGATGCAGCGCTACAACTCAGGAAAGCTACAAAGAGTAAAGCTCTACGGAGCTTCAGACCACGGTGCTGCGGCATTGTCAAGCAAATTGGAGACAAAAAATGGAGTGTCATATGGCTCCAAATGTACTTGGCATAGACGCTGTGAGACGGGCTGAGCAATTTTCTTTCTCTTTTTTCATCAAGGGTTACATCCCTTAGTAATTTTAATTTGGTTCTCTTTGTTGTTTTAGTGAGAGAATGGTATACAAGAATGAAGACAGACAATGAAAGAGTGAGAGAGAATGAGAACTATACAAATTTCTCCTAGTTTTCATAGTAGATTTCTTGTTATGATATTGTTTCGTAATTTTTTCCCTATTTCAGATTTTTTCATATTAATCATAGTGTTCTTTTTTTCGCTGCATTTTCTCTTTCTTATTTGCATTTGATGTGTGGTGTATTGGAGACCGTTTGGTAACTCAAATTGCTGTTTGAACCTTCCGACAGCACTTTGAGCCCTTGATTCGGACTCATTTGGGCTCGGATTGGGTTGATCTTGGTGTCGTTGGGTTTGTATTTCCGAGACGTTCAGTTTGACTGTAAGCTCGCTGAAATCGGAGTTCAGGTGCTCCCGGATTTAATTTTTAAGGTTTTCAACTAACTTTTGCCTCGAGATTCGTGCCCGATCAAGCTAATTTTGTGATGACGTATCAATTATTTTTTCTAATAATACAAAAAATTTATAATTATTTATAAGTTCTTGTTTAATGATATTTACCTTTCATTTGGTATGACTTTTTACTACTTTTTTAAGCTGATTTTTAATAAAAAATTAAAATTTTTATTAAAAAAAAATTACTTTAAAAAGCAATAAAAATACCGTCCCAAATGAAACCTTAAAAGTTATGTGTAATCTGATCAAAACTGCTTTGACATCCATGAATATTAAAGCAATTAAACACGTCTATTTGGACCACAATATATGAACTGGGCTCCTCTTCCATAGGAAAAATTATTAGGTACGGAGTGCAGACGGGGTGAGAACCGTCTGCACAGACACAGAGTACCGAGCGGTACCCAACGATACCGAGTGGTACCGAACGGTACCGAACACTGTTTTATACTAGTGTGCAGACGGTTCTCCCGTCCGCACTCCGTACCTAATAATTTCTCCTTCCCCATAGACTTCCTGAGCATTGCTGGCCGACAAGCAGCGCACTGTAGCCTTCCCAAGTCTTATTTTCATACCCGGATGATAAGGAATCTTGGAAGCTGTGATATTTGTGATGTTAAATAAAAATTAGTCTCTGAGACGTAAAATTTGTTTATGAAATTTTGTTGCATTCCCTTCAGACAATAATTCTAAATCTATTTTGATTATGAAAATCTTATGATCATTTACTCAATTAATATATTTTTTGAAGAGCTTTCATACTTAATTAAAAAAATTAGAAGGACTAAACACACTCAGAATCCATATGAAAACGTGTGATATACATCTTTAAAAGGTATGATAGGGCATTGCACTCCTTTGGTGTATGTCTAATTCATATAGACTACTTAGAAATCATTAATGACAAGTTTTTTTTCCCCTAAATTGAAAGTATTCAAAGGTCAAATGAACTCATTTCCTTTCAAAGTGTAAAGACTCATGCATTGCTTAAATATTTTGTGCTAGTTTTGTGCAATCAAAAATTGACGACCGGGCCACCTTTCCGTTCACCAATATATAGCTACCATTTTAAAATTTACTAGTATAAACATCATAGGAGAGTGTCAAAATCGGGTTTCGGGTCGAACCCGGAAGTGATCCGGATTTAAACGGGTCGATCCTAACTCGACCCGGTTATGTAAACGGGTCGCAAAATTCAAATCTGGACCCAACCTGTCATATTACTAGGTTGATCCGACCTGACACAGCTGGATGGCGACGGCGGGACGATAGATGGCGGACGGCGGGGCGGCCTAGCAATCGACGCAACGCGCGGGCGAGAGCGAATAGCCTCCGGCGGTGAGCAGCCTCAGACGCGACGCGCAGGCGGGAGCGAGCAGCTCTGCTGTGACGCAGGCAGTCTCGGGCGCGGGCATGGGCGGGCATGGGCAACTCAGACTCATCGTGCGGGAAGGTGTGTGCAACTCGGATGCTGGCGTCGGCAGGGGAAGCACGGTTAGCTCATTTCAAATGGGTTTTCGGGAACCCGAATTTGACCCGTTTTTTCAAACGGGTTGAATCTAGGAACCTGAACCCAACCAGTTTTTTCAAATGGGTCGAATCCGGGAATCCGAACCCGACCTGTTTTAAAATCAGGTCGTGGCTAACACAAAATTTTCAGGTCGAGTTCTAATTAGATTTTTATATAATGTCAAATATTGACACCACTAGATCAGACCCTTATAACTATCTCTTTCTTTTGCTTATAAAACAATCAGCCAAGTCATACATAAATTAAGTTCTCTCTCTATATATATCAGTTTATAATCAAATAATTTAAAAAATTCTTCAAAAGATTCAGCTAATCGATAGAACAGAAAACAAAAATATTCTCTCCCTCTATATAACCATTTCATTTATCAATCATGTTGTTGAAAGGAAGAACTTTTCTTTTCCCTCCACCAACGCCACCCATCATGATGAGTAAGGCACTCAAGCATCGATCCCATCTCCAACCAAAATCATTATACTATTCCTCTCTATAATGTAAATGCATATGCTACTAAAAAACTATACAGTACATTATAGCTTTTTACCTCCTGCTTATAGTTTTTTATTTCTTCTATTCCATTCTATCTCTCTTTTGTTCATCAAAGACATGTGAACCTTTAGTATGTACACAAATCGATGTATCAATCTCGGGTTCCATTCCTATGTATTGCATCATCATTGTATTCTTTCTTTTAATAAAAAACTATAAAATGAGCTTTTACTTTAAAAATACGATTAGCAATTTTTTACTATGTATGTTTTGGCTGCAATTGCATATATGCTTGGAATTAGGAGTGTCAATTTTGGATCACGGTCTGATTCAGGTCGAATCCGAAATTGACCCGACACTATTCAGGTCAACCCGAACCGACCTGTTTCTGCAAACAGGTCGATTTTCCGGACCCAAACCGACCCGCTTCGGGTCCGGCTCAACCCGACCAGACCCAAATGACCCGGGTCGGACAAAAAATGCTAGTTTTCGGGTCCAAAAATGGGTCAAACTCCGTTTTTAGGTCAAAACAGGTCAATCTCGGATTGTCGGGTAAAAAATGGATAATTTTCGGGTCAACCCGAACCCGACCTGATTTTTGAAACAGGTCGAATTGTTGAACATGACCCGACCCATTTCGGGTTCAGTTCAACCCCAATCCGAAATTTTCAGGCGGGTCCAATATTGACACCCTTACTTGAAATGTATATTGTCAGTTCATACATTTTTCTCTCCCTTTTGCATCTTCATTTAATTAAAAATAGTTCAAATATTCTTTTGTCATGTTATTAGACTCTTCTAAGATAGTTCATGAGTTTTATAAATCCTATATTTTTCACATAAAATTAAAAGCAAATAAATTTTGTAGAATTGTGAACATGCTGATTTACTTGCACTATTGATGGAAGTCATTTTCAATATAAATTATTAGAAGAATATAGTTTAATTCTACCAATTTTGATGCTTTGTTACACGCATATTATTGAATTTTGTGGAAATGCAAGATTTGGAGAGAGCCGGCCAACGGCGGGAAACAGAGGATATGAAAAGGAATTATTATCTTGTCTAATGGGATTACAGGATTTTATTTATAGATATTTGCCAGCCATAGGTGTACACGTGTCCACATTGCATTGGGTATTACAAATGAGGAATTAAGCTAAATGCTGAGCTTAGTTCTCTAATAGCCCCCCGCAAACGAACGAGTCTGGAGTGATCGTGAGTTTGTCCCGGAGCAGTTTGAATCTTGGTGTGGACAGAGGTTTCGTCAGTAGATCAGCGATTTGGTCGACGGTTTTGATGGGAAGAAGTCGAATGTAGTTGTTGGCTAGATTTTCGCGCAAGAACCGGTGGCCTATCTTGATGTGCTTGGTTCTTGCTTGGAACACAGGATTGTTTGTGAGGGCAATAGCCGAAGTGTTGTCACAGTAGAGCTCGACGTGCTGATTGTGGTTGATGCGAAAGTCAGTGAGCAACCGCTTGAGCCAGATGGTGTCGGCGGCGGCGGCGGCGAGTGCCCTATACTCGGATTCAGTAGATGACCGAGACACGGTTGTTTGCTTCTTGACTGCCCACGAAACCAATGTGCTGCCGAGAAATGAGCAGTACCCGGAGGTGGATTTGCGAGTGACTGGATCGCTAGCCCAATCGGCGTCGGAGTATGTACGTAGGCGAAGATCAGATTTGGTGATCGGGAGACCGAAGTGAGTGGTTCCTTTTATGTAGCGGATAAGCCTCTTCAGTAAATGAATGTGACTTGGCTGTGGATCGTGCATATGTTGCGAGAGGTTGTTGACGGCGTAGGCAATGTCCGGCCGTGTGATTGTGAGATATTGCAATGCGCCGGTGAGCTTTCTGTATAGAGACGGGTCTTCCAGATTGGAATCAATCGGGATGTCTATTGGCAGCTTGGTACACGAAGGGTTGGCTGCGGGTTTACAGTGAAACAGATTAGACTGCTGAATGATATAAGTGGCATAGGCGTGCTGAGAGAGAAAGTACTTATCTGGATGTTTTTTTAATTTTGATGCCAAGAAAGTGGTTGGCATCCCCGAGGTGTTTGAGGGCGAAGGTGGCGTGAAGCTTTTTGAGGAATTTGTTTGTGAACACGGGTAGAACTAGCCTTGATATTCAGGGAGGGTAAACTTATAAGTAAAATTGTAGAATTTTGTTTGATTCATATTTGTTCATATCATTGATCATTGTAAGCTTCGCAGATTTGTGGGGGTCCAAGGGGGCAGCGCCTCCGGAACAAAGTTTGGTTGTAAGAATATTTTTGAATTCTCTTTACTAATTTTATTGTATTTGGTTCATCATTTTCTAAAAACAACACCTCTATAAAATGTGTTTAATTATGCTGGAGGCAACTGCTCTTGGGCAAGCTCTCCCTGGTTGAGTTAGGTGGCATTTTTTCATATGTTACGACAGTTATTTATTAAAATTAAAATGATATTTCTCATAAAGTATCAAACAAGATTAATGTTTCATTTGGGAGGGATTTTTTATTATTTTTTAAAATAATTTTTTAGTATAAAATTAATATTTTTTACTAGAAAGCTTCTTTAAAAAACAATAAAAAAAGTCATTCAAAACCAAGCCTAAGGTTTCAACTTTGTTTGCAACAGTTTCCTTACTATTTTCTACAACAATTTTTTAGCTCAATTTTTTTTTTGAAAGCAATGAAAAATAGTGGTTAAAATTGTTCCAACTTCCAAATGAAATCTTCATTTGGAATAATTTTCTTGTTATTTTCTACAACAGTTTTATAATATAAAACTTTATTGAAAGTAACATACAAAGAATTGTTAAAAGCTGGCCCAAACAAAGCTTACATTTGATCAATTAGGGCCTACTTGATTTGAGATTGGTATGTTTGCTTAAATGAAATAGATAGTGAGAGTTATTGGTCCAATATGCGTGAGTTATACAATTAGATTATAAGAAATATTATATATATATTATCATTACGAAGGAACTCGTGCCGCAGATAAAAAGGATATGGGCTCCATCCCAATTCCCAACTGATTCTGTGCGGCCACGATGGAGATTTTTGAGGGGAAATTATTGGGTTAGGTCATCGAATATAGCTTATGTTCGGTATTCACAGTACTAAGATTGGTACTATGAAGGACTGAGTACTGAGCTCGATACTGAGCGGTACTGAGCTCGATACTACTTGTCACTGCTCAGTATCAAGTAGGAGGTGATGTGGCGCATTTTTATTGGGCTCCGAACACATCCGGTTACCTGACACAATAATTTCCCTCGTTTGAGAGAGTGTTTTTATGCTGGTAAAAACTGTTGCTGATATAATGTTTGGTAATACGACTTCTATAAAATACATTTTTTTAGAATGACGTATTTATGCAAATCTGATTAATAAAATAATATTAACAAGAAGAAAAAGAAGTAAAATTATGACCAATAATATAATAAATATTTAACAACTGAATCGAACTACTTATATACAACTGCTTCGGTTCGGATTTTCAGTTTTACCCCAATGACCAAAATTTTTAAATTATTTTATATCTCAATATTTAGAAAAAAAATATATACAAATAGAAAGTCAGAAATAGATTTAATGCATCATGTGATTCTATTGGAATTGTTGCGGGCTAGAAAATACGCTGCGATAGAGGTTTAATTCTGCGTCTTAGCGTTGAACGGATAACTAGCTTATAAAAATATAAAAATATAAGATGTATAGTTTATATTGGATATGTAAATATGAAGTATTTTTAAATAAATAAATTTCTTTTATTTAAAAGAAAATTTTAAATTTTGATGACTTTTATTAGAGGTTTTAAAATAGGTTGACAGGTTAGGTTCATGTCCTATCTGTATCCAATCAATTTGAGCTCGACCTGTTTAATAAACAGTGCAAAAAAACCAACTTGAACTAAACCCGCTAATAGCTTGAATCATCTAAACCTGACTCGTTAATCTATTTTGATAAAAAATAAAATAAAATATAACTTATTTACTATAAAGTTTAAATTATTTAATAAAAAATAAAAAGATTATACTCTCACAAGTAAAAAAAATATTAAATTGGTCATTTTATGTCAGAAGCTAGTTCTCAGATCAACTTGAATCCAACCGGTTAAATAAATGAGTTGGAAACGGACTCGACCCATTTATTAAATGAGTTCAACAATGTTGTGTCCTAGAGTGTTTGCGGCGGTAGAGAAATATAAAGTTTAGTGTCTTAGCGTTGTACGAAGATCCAGCACACAATCAGATAAGAGAGAGCTAGGGTGTAGCATTTATAAGAGCACCATAGTTTTTACGTGGAAACTCCTGAAAAGGGGGAAAAACCACGGGGCCTGGCCCAGTTTGAATGAGTCCACTAGAATTTGCAGTTGATTACAAATGAGCCCCTTCCTTGGGAGAAGGCATTGGCGTGATGGCACAAATGTACATCATATAGAGCACATTACATGGTGAGAGTTACAATATAGACATGTTTGTTTAGTCGGCACGATCATAGTTGATAGGATAAAGGTCGAAAAGACATTTTTCGGCAGGAGACAGAGGTCTGAAAGATCGTAGTTTTATGCGATGTAGGTCGGAATGACCGTAATATGCACGAGATCGAGGTCAGAAAGACCGTTGTAGTAGGGCGATACTATGGTAGAATTCTGGGCATCATGTGGTGTTCTGATAGAAGTTCGGGCCTTAGGTGATGGTCTGATAGAAGTCCGAACCTCGTGTTGTTGTCCAGCAGAAGTTTGGGCGTCAGATGGTGGTTCGGTGGAAGTCCAGGCCTCCGGTGGTGGTACGGCGGAAGTCCGGGCCTCATGTGGTGGTTCGGCGGAGCACGACGTCAGGCAGTGGTCCGGCCGAAGTCCGGGCCTTAGGTGGTGGCCTGGTGGAGCACAGAGCCTCAAGTGGTTGTCTGGTGGAGCACAGGGCTTCAAGTAGTGGTCCGGCGAAGCAACGCATCAGGTAGTAGTGCGGCGGAGGTGAAAGCCTTAAGTGTTGGTCCCACGAAGCAATGACGTCAGGCGGTGGTCCGGCGGAGGTGATTGTCTCAAGTGGTGGTCCGGCTGAGCAACAACGTCAGGCGGTGGTCCGGCGGAGCTGCCTGGTGGAGCTCAATGCCTTAAGTGGTGGCCTGGTGGAGCACAGGACCTCAAGTGGTGGTCCGGAGGAGCAACGACGTTAGGCGGAGGTCCAGAAGAGCAATGACGTTAAGCGGTGGTCCGGCGAAGGTCTAGGCCTTAGGTGGTGGCCTGGTGGAGCACAGGACCTCAAGTGATGGCATGGTGGCACAGGGCCTCAAGTGGTGGTCCGGTGGAGCAACGACGTCAGGAGGTGGTCCGGCGGAGGTGAGTGCCTCAAGTGGTGGTCCGGCGAAGCAACGGTGTCAGGCGGTGGTTCAGCGGAGGTGAGGGCCTCAAGTGTTGGTCCGGCGGAGCAATAATGTTAGGCGGTGGTCCGGCGGAGGTGAGGGCCTCAAGTGGTGGTCCGACGGAGCAACGGCGTTAGGCGGTGGTTCGACGGAGGTGGGGGTCTCAAGTGGTGGTCCGACGGAAGTCCAGCGGTGGTCCGACGAAACTTCGACGATGGTCGCGGAAGGGCTTCTTCCTTCTCTTCCTTCTCTTCTTGTTTCGGCCTCCTTTCAAGAGGAATGAGGGGTCTATTTATTGATTTCGGGAGTGGCATGACCCATAAATAGGTGAGAGATTAAGGGTAAATGGGGAGTGGTTGGATGGACGGCCGATATTAAATCCTTTGATCATACATCGTTCGTTAGACATTTGAAGGCCTTAATGATGTCAGAATTCGGCAATCTTGAGCTCGTTGGATTTGTCTCGTCGAGCCGCTCGATTCGACTATAAGCACGTCATGTTTGGAAACCATTTTCTAACACAAATTGTGGTTCAAACCTTCCAATAGTGCTTCGGGTCCTTGATTTGGACTCATTTGGGCTCGGATTGAGCAAATTTGGTGTCGTTGGATTTGTATTTCCAAGACGTTCAGTTTGACTGTAAGTTTGCTGAAATCAGATTTCGGATGGTCCCAATTTTAATTTTGGAAGTTTCCAACTCTATTTTGCATCGAGATTCGAGCCCGATCAAGATAATTTTTTTATCAAGCAAAATTATACTAAAATAGATATTTTTTCATTATATCTTCCCTGAAGAGATATTTATATTATCAATATATAGCTTTTGTCTTAAATTTAAACAGCTGACGAGGCTTGACTTCTTAGGAGTAAATATTAACCTCTGCAAAAAATTATAATTATTGAACTTTTTTAGTAATTTTCAAAGTTTGTCCTTTTTGTTGAACGTTTTTATACAGTTTTTTCAATACTTGTTTGTTAAATACTCAGTAAATTAAATATTTGTTATTAAATTAGCTATAAAAATATAAATAAAACAATGAGAAAAAAAAAGAGAAAGAAATATCCACACATTTTTATGACGCTCTTATTTATTTATTTTTAAATATTTAGATTAATTAAGACAAATTCATACATATTATATATGAAAAACTCAAAATTTTTTAATTGATAGTCGAAGCTAAAAATACTGTTGATTACCCACATTTTGAAAATCAGACCGAACCGGCCTGTTCAACATGTTCAATCGTGAACCAGTCTAATGGTCGGTCCAGTTCACCCTTAAAACCGAGGTGCATCAAACCAGTCAGAACCGGTTGCACCACCGGTTCAACTGGGAACCAGTCTCGATTTTCTAAAACCGGCTGGTCCAATTATTTTTTTAATTAATTAAATAAATTATTTAATATTAAATAATGATATACTTAATCATCAATATAAATATTTATATTAAAAATCTTAAATAAATATTAAAGAATAAGATTATATAATTAATTGCAACAATATCACATTGCTCCACATGAGCTCATATCATGTGCAAAAACAAGAAGATATATAAAATATGCAAAGCAAAACATAACAAGTGATGTGGGACTAAACCATTCAAAGCAAAAAGCCCTCATTGGTTTCATGTATACACCATACAAAGCAAAACATCTTTTTTTAATAAAATTTTTAATTAAATTTGATAATATGAATAATATTTATTTATTTAGTTGATAAATTTATTTTTTTCTTTATCCATTATTTTTATATATTTGATTATATATTATTTTTTTAATATGAATAATATATTTTTTTTTTTATTTTGGAATTTTACTTTTTTTAGTTAATAATATTTTTTTCTATTTAAAAATATATTTAATTATATATTATAAACAATTAATTTTTATTATGAGTTTTTTATATAATTTATATTTATAGTTTATATCTCAATATGTAATATAAATTAATAATAATTTATATTAAAGTATATAGTTATTATATTTCATTATTATTTTAATTTTATTATTTTTTTATAGTAATATTATTATTTATTACATCATTTAAAACCTCTACTTCATCCCATTCCTTGTGCTAACCGATTTTCACAAACTTGCTCATTACACGATTTTATTATTTAAAAAAAATTTAAGAGTATTGGGTCCCGCGTTAACTACCAAGGCCTTTAACTGTCAAGACAATAGATCGATGTGAGTGTGAACGAGCGTCAAAGCCCGCGAAAAATTCCATGAACGTGGACCCCGCGCTTTCCACCACTTACTGACTAGACATATAACCGTGGGGCCCAATATGAACCCTTTCTCACAAATGGAAACTAGACACGTGTCCAACTGCTTCCGTTAGACAGAGCAGTAAAGGACAAGAACAGAAACTAGGATATTTGGATATAAAGAGTAAAGCTAAAAGGATGGATAGAAGGGAAAGAAAGCTTCATGTGAACGACGACGATAAAGAATCGTAGACGCCACCATTAAATTATTTATTGCAAAAAGAAGGAAAAACCTTACTGCAGCAAGTCTTTATAAAGCTAAAGAGGCTCTTCACCAACCCTTCTCCACTTCCGAATTCTCACAAGGTCTGTCTTCTCTGATCTACGCGTTTCATGTAAATTCACACACATATGATATCTTCTTCTTCCTCTGTTTCTTATATTTGTTTTCTCTTTCCTTTTCAGTTTTTTTTTTCTGTGATTGAAGAGGAGTTTAGAACTGAATCTTCTTTAGGAAATCAAGTCTTCTTCATATTTTTTAGTTGGGAGCAACTGTAATTATAGAATTGGAGGATTACAATATTTAGCTGTAATGGCGCCTATGGCTCTTCCTCCTGGCTTCAGGTTCCATCCGACCGACGAAGAGCTTGTCGCTTACTATCTCAAAAGGAAGATTAATGGAAGGAAGATAGAGCTTGAGATCATACCTGAGGTCGATCTTTATAAATGCGAACCCTGGGAACTGCCTGGTATTTTCCCTAACTCTACAAGCTTAATTATTTCACAATAATTTTGAATCTGACGCCTACAATAAACATATAGTAGAGTTGTACGTTATTCACTATTATATACATATCAAAATATATATTTAATATTTGTAGCAGGAGTTTATAATATTTATTATTACAATATATTCTTATTTCTCAAAATATTTCTTATTATTTTTCTTATTTTTTAAATTTCACATACTATTTAATTAAATAAAAATCATTTTACCGTAAACAACTAAACATAAATATATATATATAGTTAGATTCTATATTTTTTTCGTGCAAATATTTTTGACGTTTTTATAGTAAATGGAATGTAGTATGTGAGATCCCAGAAGAAGTGTTGCACTTTCACTATTTTCCAGTAACAGTTAATCACATTCAAATAGACAGTATATGGACTTTTTTCATTTAATGAGGCCTTAAATGATTTAAAGAAGTATATGGACTTTCTTCCCTTAGAACTTACTGTAGCAATCTTTGACAAAAAGCCAAAGCCAGTTCTCGAGAACTTTTAGTCTTTCGGAGACAAGATAAGAAGATCCCATCTATATGTATATCATCCACTTTTTTCTACTTTATCTCTCACAGCGCCGGTTAGCTTGTCCTTCAATTTTTGTCTTCTTCCTTTCGGTAAAAGGTAAATATTTCTTTAAATTGTATTTTCATAATTATTCTGTTTGGACGACAAATGTCATCCGGAAATCAATCATAATACGTCGTATCACTATTTATTTGATACCGCGGCTCAATACTGCTGACGTGACGCATTCTGATTAATCTCGAAAACGCTTCCGAATGATGCTCCGCGTCTGATTCTCGCACAGAATAATTTCTCAGTCAATAAAAGCTTCATTATTATTTATAGATATATATAGAAATTAAAATTTTAAAATTCCAGTAGTCTCTCAATCTATATACAATTTAAGGGAAAAATAAGTGGAAGAGTACAGAAAGTACTAACTTCTTCTTAAAACTACTCTTATGTTACTTTCTAATTAAATATAATAAACCTCTCTTATTTTTAATCCTGATTAGCAATTAAAATATAAAAATGAGTTGTTTCAGAGAAATCATTTCTACCAAGCAAAGACCTTGAGTGGTACTTCTTCAGCCCTCGGGATCGGAAGTACCCCAATGGCTCGAGGACGAACCGCGCAACTCGAACTGGTTATTGGAAAGCAACAGGGAAGGATCGGAAGGTAAATTCTCATAAGAGAGGGGTTGGAATGAAAAAGACCCTCGTCTACTACCGCGGCCGAGCTCCTCATGGCTCTCGGACAAATTGGGTCATGCATGAATACCGCCTTGATGAAAGCGAGTGTGAAACTGCTTCTGGGTTGCAGGTGAAGCTCTAATAGGGCCAAGAATTTAATGGCAATTCATTATTATTTTCAATAATTAATGGATTAAAATGGTTTTTGTTATTAGGATGCATATGCGCTATGTCGTGTATTTAAGAAGAGCACACCTGGTCCTAAGATTATAGAGCATGTTGGACTAAATCAACATGAAGAACAGTTGCAATTGGAAGCATTTGATCTCACTCCTGATGAAAGAGCAGATCATGATGATTTAGAAAGCAGCAACGTCTATAATCTTTTTCAAACACATAGTAGCTTATCTCAAAGCTTGGTTCATGGCCCCTCATTTGATGCAAGTGCCTCATGGATGGAACACTTTCTGGCAGAAGAATCATCAGTCGTAAGCTCTACAAATGTTCCCTTTCCAAGTCCTTCATCATTTTCCTCTATGCTATCAAAGGTAACTGTTTTTCATACTGGTTAAATTTTGTTTGTTGTTTTGTTAACCTTAAAAGTTAGTTTTTTATATAGATTAATTAGTTCATTACACTGGACAAAAATACATTGTTTATGCTGTGTTTGATTTCAGTAAATGTTTCAGCATATTACATTATTAATAGTAGCAAGGCTTGTAAATATGAGGATGATCAATGTCAAAATGGGAGTGATTTGAATGGACGGCCGATATTGACCCCTTGATCGTGGACCATTTACTGGTCATTTAAATGCCTAATGATATTAGAATTCATTGATCTTGAGCTTATTGGATTAGTCTCATCGATCCGCTCGATCCGACTATAAGCATGTGACGTTTAGAATACATTTTGTAATCCAAATTATGGTTTGAACTTTCCTAAAGTGCTTTGAGTCTTCGATTTATTGGACTCATTCGGGCTATGATTGAGTCAATTTTGAGACTTTAAGTTCGACTATAAGTTTGGTGAAATCAGAATTTAGTTGGTCCCAAATTTAATTTCAAAAGCTACAACTAGATTTTGCCTTGATATTCATGCCCGGTCAAGATAATTTTTTGATGATATATCAACTATAAAATAAAAAAGAGAAGCCATTATCATTATTGATCATTTTAATTGATTCATGCAGGTAGATGTAGCACTAGAATGTGCGAGATTTCAAAATAGATTCTTAATGCCTCCATTGGAGGTAGAAGACTTGTCACAACTCGAAGCTTCAAACTCAAAGATCTTCGAATCAGGTTTCTCTCAGTTCAGCACAACAGCAAACGAAAGTTTTCAGGAAATTAATTCAGTTGCATCAGCTTCCCATGAATTTTGCAGAAACCCTAACTTTGATGAAGACATGTGGGCACTCAGAACTTCTTATAGCTTCAATGAATTCTTCTCTCCGGTTGAAACTACTCATGACTTAGGTTCTCCAGAAATCATTGCTAAGCCAAGTGCAATGGGGGAGAAAGCAACCTTTGTCGACATTAGTGAACTGGAGGAAGAGTTCAACCTAGAACAGAAGAAGGTAGAGAACTTAAGAAATGTGAAAATGTTGGAGGGGAATATGATAACAGAAGTAAGTATATTGAATACCCATTATTTATTTATTCATTTTGTTATTATCATTCATATATTTATGGATATATGAATTTTTATTAAGCAGATAAACATAGAATTCCAGCCAAGTCGGCATCAAAAGTGCAGTCCTAATCCTTCACCAGCACAAACTTCTATGCTTGTTCAAGGTATACGTGAACTAATATTTTAACTTATCGGCAGCTTAATTTCTCTTGTTTTTGTCAAGCATCGTTTAGTTTGTATCGGTCATTCACCTGTACTTAGATTGATTGCAGGAGATACTCATGGAGGAATCAATGATAGGATAATCAACCTAGAATCTCAAGCAGATCATGACTTCAATCCGGAACAGAAGCAAGATTTCCATGATAATGTTAGTAGTTATGAAGGTTTTTCTTCCTTTGATGTTCTTGAGAAAGTTGAGTTCAACCATGGGCTGTTTGTGTCAAGCAAAGCTGTAGCCAAAACATTATTTCACCACATTGCACCATCAAAGAAGATCAATGTTCATATGAATCTTATGGATTTTGAGGTTAGAAAATTCAAATATCCTTCAGAAGATGGATCTTATAAGGTGTCTTTCTTTCAAAAATTGAAAGAATTTATTTGCAACAAGATAATTGGGATCAAGTTAGGGTGCCATCTTGGCTGCATTTTGAAAGTATGTAGGAGCATTCATGTTTGGTGATATGTGGAAGATACTTCTTCAAGGTTTCAACCTGCATAATATTCATCAATGGCTGAAGGAAGAAATCAAAGAACCGAGGAAGGATCAAGTCCGTATGGAATGATGATGCAAAGAGTGTAATTTGGTTTGATAGAGCAAGAGAAAGATGCAAAATATATAGAGAAGGTTTCTGAATGGAAAATGATATTTTCTGTCTCTTTGCCTCTGCTCTATATGCTACAAGCATGTTCAAATTAACTGTTTCTGTTTCGAGAATGTTCGTCCATTAATGGCTTAAAATTAAAATGACTGAAACTATTAAATCTTCAATAGTCAAAGCTAAGAAGTGGGGGTCATTCTATTTGAGTATTGTCGATCTTAGTAGTGTTGGGAATCAAACAACACAATGAAAAACAAATATGAAAAATAAAACAGCAGAAAAGAATATCAGAATTTAACATGGAAAATTCAAAATTGGGAAAAATTACAAAGCCACATCGCTCAAAAAAATCTACTATAAAAATTAGGGAAATTGTACATATCAGTTTCTCACAATTCTCTCTCTCCTTTTCTCTCTTCTCTTCTCACACCGTTTTACACTCAGAACGTACAGACAAAGAAATATACTTGAATACTCCAAAGAAGCAACCCTTCAAGTGATATAAGAAGAACAAGGAATAAAATTACTTAGCTCAACCCGCAATGCTACGGCTTTGTACCCTTGGCACTGGAATTATAGCGTTGTGACACCGTACTCTCTTTCTTAGAAGAGATCCATAACACTTTTGTGTTGGATTTATAGCACCACGCATGGTGTTGTACAAACAAGAAATTTTTTTTTGGAGGCTTTTCCCTTGAACTCCCGAGCAGAGGGTGCACCCTCCAATGAGCTCCTCATCGAGCTCAAATGATGGAATTGAGGTTTGATTCAACAGTACAACTTGATTGATCAATACAATCAAATTCTACAAATAACTAACAAGAATTAGGGCCATTTTGAACATTATGTTGATCATTATTAAAGGGAGGGTTAATGATGTTGGAAGTGGGGTTTAAATTAACACAGTATGGACGAGCAGGTGCAGATTTATAATGGGGCCCTGGGGAATGGGACCCTAGTGGCCTAATAATTAAAAATCAGCCCATTTCAAATTCTATTAATATAACACTTATCATATATAAAATTAGGTTGTTTGACATGCAGCTGAGATCTCTTAATGTTTTGATGTATCTTTTATGCTGGCCGAGCTCTATGAACTGCTGCTTCTCGTCGTTGAATGCTTGCTTCCTGAATGGCTGTACTGATCAGTTTTTCATATATATCATTTTCGTTGTGTTATTTCATATGCTCTAATTGGGTTTTTTTGGAGATTTCTCTGCAGGTTACCTTTAGCTCTTTCGCGTTTTACCCTCTTGGTTATCCAGGTAGTCTAAATTTAATATATAATTAATTTAAAATAAGTTAGAATATTATCTTAAACTAATTTAAATTTAGTTACCATAATTATTGTTCAAAAATTAAGACTCAATTTAATTAATTCAAACAAAACAATATTAACTATAAAAGTAATTTATTTGAACTTAATTCATTAACATAATCTTATAAGAAAAATATTAATTTCTCAATAAATAATGAGAACAACTATAATTTTTAAAGTATTTTTTTATAAATTTTTATTAAAATCTTATATATCTCAAGATTTACGATTACACTAAAGAAAAATATTATTTGAAGAGTTATTTAATAGCTAGTATTAATTTGTACCCCCATTTAAAAAAATTGGCTCCGCCCCTATAGATGAGGAGAGTTTGAAACAATATAATCATTTTATTGGGACTACTTAGCGGCTTAGGTGTTCCACTTGGACTGTCTGTTCCCCTTATTCTTCAACTCCATCAGGTGAAGGTTAATTAAAACATCAATTCCTGAATAGTGTGGCTATGTATATGGCAAAGAGTAAAAAAAAAAAAAAGGAATATATTGAACTCCACATTTTATAATTTACATCCAATCTTTAAGGAAAGACAATTTTTAGAGAGTGCCAAATGTAAGAGAATAAAGAGATTAAAGGTTTATAAAGTAGAACCTTGTGGGCCCCCATAAATGAATTCGTCGATTGTTTGTTAAATACTTAGGCTTAGTTTGGTTATTTGTTACTTTTGTAAAAGACAGTTTTAAGAAACATTGATTCAGAAAATGGAGTTTTCTAACGGAGAAGCATATATAAAAAACTTTCTTAAAACAACAAAAAAATGAAAAAAAAGAGTTATTAGGAACGTGATTTGACGAACCAAACAATACAGAAGAAATAAATTTGTCATTTCAAAACGAAATAAGCACAAAAAGCTTTCAATCAAACGAAGCCTTATAATGCTCATACAACAAAAATATAGAAGGTAAGAAAAAAATTGTGGGTCACAAAAACCTTCTTATTATTATTTTTTTTTTAATTTTTCCGTAAAAAATTTGAATCGAAAAAGTAATAGCATATGTAGCTAGTCCTAGCAAATTATGATAAAGCCTACCCAAATGATTTGAATGGTAAGAGAAGAGCTTCTCTGATGAGAGGAATCACATAAAGAAGAATTAGCCCTTTGAACAGTCTTCCAAAGCTTCAAAGAAACAGATATATATTTATAATAAAGAAATGATCGATCTCACAAAGTTTAAGTAATGAATAAAAGTAATTAACTATTACTCTTGCAAAGTAAAAATTTCATTGACCGCCTCACTCTTACGCAAAGAAAACCCCCTTCGTAAAATTCTCTTCCTTTTTTATATTTCAATAAGAACTTTTATTTAATTTCACAAATTTTATTCGTGAACTGCTATGAATTAATTTTAATCAAATTATGAAATAAAAATTTTTAATTAATAAATCAATGCAATCACATACTATTGTTTTTTGTAAGATAAATAAATAATATTCGTTTGCAAAACAGATTTAGAAAATATTGTATTGTAACTCATGATGAGATGTCTTTTATCCTTATGGTCTAAATTTAGATTTCTTTTGAGATTGTTTTCTTTCTAAAATATATTTTTTTTTTACTAAAAAATTGCTTTAAAAAGCTTTAAAATAGCTATCCCAAATATAGCTTTAGTTAGAAATATAATTAATATATGACATTGTAGTTTGAAATATAAGAAATAAGAAAATTAACAATATGTTTTTTTTAAATTAGTTTAATTTTAAAATAACTTTCTAACATAATTTTGGCTCATAGATTAGTGCCATGAAATTAGTTTAATTTTAAATTCATGCTTCTAATTTTCTTTTTATTCCCTAGCTTCTTTATTTTTGTGATTGTTATCTTCCTCTTTTCTATAATATTTATGTTAACTTTGATTGTTATCTTCCTCTAAAAATACAGCATGTATCAAGTGGTCTAAACCTGTTTTGGGTGAGTTGAAGCTTAATATTCATGTATCTAAGTTTCATGCTCCGTTTGACAATGAAGGATCCTTTCATATAGTTCTTTCTTTTTATTGCGTCCTGGTATGTTCGCGGCGGTAGTAGAGATATAAAATTAGTATTTCTGGCGGATTTCCGTCGGATTTTTTTTCGCCGGAAACGTGCGAGTGAAAAAAGTTATACTGGCGCAAAATAAGCCGCTGGAAATATTTCGGACGGACTTCCGGTGGAATTAGTCCGCCGGTACAGTTTCCGACGAACTATTTTAAGCCGGGAAAAAAAGAAGAGTAGAAGGTATTTTGCGCTAGTCAGCCCCGCCCGGTCCCATTCGCGCGCCCAAGCAGCCAGTCCGCCAGAATGATTCTACCAGTTATAACGGAGTTTTACTGCTTTTTAAAACTCCGTTATAACTGGTGCAAATTTTTTTATTTTTGTACTAAAATTCTGTTTTAAAAAGCAGTAAAAAATCCGTCCCAAACGAAGCCTAAGTTTCCTGCTCCGTTTGACAAAGAAGAATCCTTTCATATTGTTCCTCTTTTTGTATTTGTATTTGGTTGATGGTGCGGTTCATTGTTTTTGCTCTTCAACGTTTGTTGGTAGCTCTTTATTATTTGATGAGTTGCTGTTATAGTATGCCTTCTCTTGCCTGTTGATTTTGAGATTGGATAGGATTGGTTGGGTCTTCATATCCTTTTGGTCATGCATATCAAATCACTAAAGGAAAAATGAACATATTTTTTGGCGGATTTCCGACATAATATTTACGGCTGATTTTAAGTTGGATTTCGAGCGGATTTCCGAAGGAATTTTGAATTTTTTGAAAAATATTTATTATTAATTTTTAAAATTAATCATTTTGTTAAATTAATTTAATTATTAAACAGAATATTTTAAAACTAAAATAATAAAAAAAGTTTTAATAATTTTTATTATGTTAATTTAACTAATTAAAAATAAAAAATAAGGTAATATTCTAATAGATATTGTTTAATAGATTAAATAATATAATCATATCATACATTAAAAATGATTATTAAGAAAGTATACAACCACAACAACAACATCAAGCCTTTATCCTACTACATGGGGTCGGCTACATGATTCATCTTTCTCCATTGTGTCATGTTAAAAGTCATTAAGAAAGTATAATTTCTATAAAAAAAATGCAGTAGAAATAACGTAAGATGCAGACTAGCTCATTAAATAGAGATGTTTAAAGTGTTTGAAGTCCACAAAAGATGGGAGTTGCATGTGCGGGCCTAGTTCACGGGCCCATAGTTCGTGGACTGGCCTGGTTCACAAGCCCACTAAATAACATTTTTTTAAAAAAAAATTTAAGCAATTTCCAGTGGAAGGAATTTTTTTGACGGTATTTATTTTCTGATGCGTGATTTATCGTCGGAAATATGCCAAAAATACAAATTACCGACTGATTTCATTCATTTATCAGTGGAAATGGGCGCCAAAAAATAATGTTTTTGTTGTGGTGAATTTTGTTTGGATTATGTTAATCTTTTTTGTATCCTTATTTCTACAGGTTCTTTTTGTTGGGTTCACTTTCTCTTTGCAAGGATCATTCACTCATTCAAGCTCCATCTTTTCAAGATCTCTTTTTTTGAGTGATGGCTCCTAACAACTCGTAGATTTTTATAGGTTATTTTGTCTTGCTTGTAATTAGGAGGGATTATTGATGCTCAGGTTTTTCCTTTTTCTTTTTTGAATGTACCTCTTCTATTGATAACGTGCTTTTAATCCCTTTTAAGGACATGTAATTTTCTCTTATATTAACGCATAAACTTGATGGCGCGTTTTATCCCAAAAAAAAAAAAAGAAAAAAAAAATGTAACAAGCATAAAAAATAGCAAAAATCACTTTGATATTCACTTTTATTTTTTATTTTTCAATGATTGCTTTTTTTGATATAAAAATTCGAAATACATTTTAGAACTACAAAATACACTTTATGTTCAACATTACAAAAAAATAAAAAAAAATACAAAATACAAACTCTTGCATATATATTATTGGAAGCATGCAAGCATTTCAAACAAAACGTCCAAAAATATACCTTATTACATAACAAATTCAGAACCCAACCATATTATTTACCACCCAATAATGTTATCCCAAGCATGATAGAGGCAATTAAAAAAAAAAAAAAAAAGGAAAAAGAAAAACTTTTACTTAATCAATTAGCAAAAGTCACATAGGGAGAAGGTTCATCGCCACCTTCATTATTAGAGCACCAAGCGTCGTCAGTAATGAACTGCATCCATGAATCATCCTTGTCTTCTTCTTCAATGCAAGAAGAAGATCCCAGCAAGGGAACATCAGGTGAAGTAATCTCGTAATCGTTGTTGATTGCCTGAGGGCTTTCTGCGACTGATAAGCTGCATTGGCCTTGTTCTTCCACTTCAGTGCACACCACATTTTTCTTAAACACCCGACAAAGTGCGTAAGAGTCCTGAGGGATTTATATCATTCAGAGTTTCATCAGTAACTCATTTCTGTTAATTTAGCTCGAAAACATATCATTGATTAGTTTTAATGAGTTAAAATTAGTTGAATTTGGTTGAGCTTACTATGATAAAAGAATTGAGCTAATCTTGAGTTCATTGAATTATTGTCCATATCATACCATTTTTTGGGGGGAGTTTAAGGCTTCGTTTGGAACAGCTTTTTTATTATTTTTTTTAAGAAATTTTTTAGCACAAAATCTTTTGAACTAAGAAGTTTGTATAAGAAAGCTGCTTTAGAAAGAAATAAAAAAGCTAGCTTAAATGAAGTCTAAGGCTTCGTTTGGGGCGGCTTTTTTATTGCTTCTTAAATCAACTTTTTAGTATAAAAATTAAAAATTTTGTACTAAAAAACTGCTTTATAAAACAGTAAAAAAGTTGTCACAAACGAAGCCTAAGTCTTTGTTTGAGATTACTTTCTTACTATTTTATAAAATTGTTATAGATAAAGTAATTTTTTAACGATATTGTAGACAGCTAGCAGCTTCGCAGTATAACTTTTTTTTGAAAGTAGCAAAAAATAGTGTCCAAATAAAATTTGTGATTGCAGTCTGAAAAATAAAGCCATAAGAAAGTTATCACAAATGAAGCCTAAGTGAAATTAATTATAATTTTAAGAAAATGTAAGTAAGCTAGTGAGTTAGGCTTCGTTTGGAATAGCTTTTTTTCTTACTGCTTAAAATAGCTTTTTAGTACAAAAACTTTAATTTTTATACTAGAAAGTTGTTTTAAAAAAAATAATAAGAGAGCCGTCCCAAAAACAAAGCCTTAGTGTGCGCTTGAGCTTTGATTTTGCATGGCAAAGGCTCCCAACCATTGAGCCATGCGTTTATCCTATCCTAACCAAAATGGGCAGACACTATTAATACTATTATTTATTACAATTACTTTTCAGTTGATAGTATTTTAGATTCATTTATGTGGCTATATGAGAGTTTGTATAGGTGGAGTAATAGGGTTGTGGGTGGAGGAAGATGGGAATATTGGAGGAGGAGAAGTTGGTTTCGGAATAAAGTGTAAAGCCACCGACATCATAGAGGAGGGTCATGAGGGGTGATTTTGCTTTTCCTTAAAAAGTTCTAATAGAATCAGGCATTACTCTAATTAATATATATATGTGGATCATAGAGCTAGATGAGAAGTGAAGCACAGATTTGTCTTACTTGACGTGGAGAAAATAGTGAAAGCAACTTCACTGATACTTTGGTGAGGATCTATAAGGTCTAGAAGAAAAGAATGTTATTGTTGCTTTAGTGCCCTTAAATGCTGTGGATAAGAAAGCAGCTTCTGTGGCCGCAGAAAGCTCGCTCTAGCTTTTCAAGCACGTCATGCATAACCTACGTAGAATCTCTCCTTTTCTTAATTAACTTCTCTCTCTCTCTCTCTCTCTCTCTCTCTCTCTCTCTCTCTCTCTCTCTCTCATACACACACCACCACCACACTCTTGGAGGCCTTGACCTTCGCTGGTTATATTTTAAAAGCCTTATTTTTTATCATGGAGAAAGAGGATTTGACCTCAAACATGCATGTCAATAGGTTAAGAAGAAATGAATAAGATAAGTAGGTTCATGAATTAACCATGCATGCTTATTATTCTTATTAGATGGCTAGGCCAAAGTGCATTGTTAATTTTAGACTTTGTTTGAGATTGCTTTCGTACTGTTTTTAAAAATAGATTTCTAGTACAAAATTTTTGTACTAGAAAGTTATTTTAGAAACCTAGAAGAAAGCCGTCCCAAACGAAGTCTTAATAACCTTTTTCTTACTTTTTTTAGGGAAGAGTACTTAGCTCATAGAGATTACAAAAGATATTGTAATTAACGTTAAATAAGAGTTTGTATGGTAGCTTCACCTGAATTCCCATTGTATCCTCGCATTCCTTGTCATCTAGACGATACTCGTGCATGACCCAATCAGTCCTTATACCTTGTGGAGCTCGACCCCTATAGTAGACCAATGTTTTCTTCATGCCGATGGCTCTATTTTGTGAGGATACACGTCTGTCTTTTCCTGTTGACTTCCAGTATCCAGCTCTTGTAGCACGATTTGTTCGAAATCCATTAGGGTATTTTCTGTCTCTTGGTCCAAAAAAGTACCATTCTGGATCCCTGCTAGGGAGGAAGGACTTATCTAGTAAAATCAAAGCATACTATAATTAGTTTTTAGCAAAATCTACATTCACACTTTTATTAAAACACATTTTTAAATATTTGTTTTCATTCATAAGAAATGAGATGCAATATATCTTGAGAGACATTCTATATTATATCTCCAACTTTTTAAGTAATAAACTAAAAGAGAAAACAAAATAGTATAAAAATAGAAACATAAAAATAGCAAGCTCAATAATTGTTAGACCTGCAATTAAAAATTATAATTTGTAATCTGAGACTTCTAAAATATGATATCAATGATTAGATTATCTCATAAATATAAAGATAAATATTCATTCAACCCATGAGGATTTGATCTTCACTATAAAAAAGTTGATGTTTTCGCAGCAGTTTATAGCAGCGGTTTTAAAACCATCGCAAATAAATTATATGTGTTTAAATCGATATAGTAAGTCTTAAAAAGTGCTGCAAAATTTGATTTATAGCAGTGGGCTTCCACGAAGCCATAAAAGAAATAAATCACAACACAATGTAATTAGGAGTTATTAAGACAACAAGAAGGATAAAATTAAGCATACAACAAAACTATTAAAGGATTGTTAGTCTAGTTTTTAGAAAGAAGATTCAAAAGCTGTTAAACATCATTAAACACTATGAAATAAAGAGAAATTTGAAAGACAAAAAGAGTGTGACATTTTAAAGTGACTGCCCACTAATTCTTTCTTTGCTCTACATATAGCTAGATTCCATCTAAAACCTCTTTAAAGTGATTGAAGTCAAGCATCAACCAAAGATTGTAAGAGAAAATATACATTGAAAAATAAAAAAGTCAAATGTATGGAGGTTAGAGCTAGGAAGATCAGGAAATGATTGAATAAATGAAATTGGAGAAATTCATTAATAATGACCTGCCAACTCCCATGGTTCACATTTGTAAAGGTCAACCTCAGGGATTATGTCGAGCTCTATCTTGAGGCCATGGATCTTCCTCTTGAGGTAGTAGTTGACGAGCTCCTCATCAGTAGGGTGGAACCTAAAGCCTGGAGGAAGACCCACAGGAGCCATATCTCTCCCTCCCCTCCTTCCTCCCTTCTCCTTTGTTCTCTCTCTCTTTCTAGGCTATTTTTTTCCTCACACTCATCGTATTTATAAGAAATGACTAAAATTCTCAACTCCTTCAAGTCGTTTTCCCTTTCTCTTTTGCAGATTCTCAGAAAATTAAACTTCACACTTTCTTATTTATGTTCTACATCATGTATGATGTATGTATATATATTGTGTTTATAAAAATATTATTCAAAGGCTTTTATATATACTGATATCAATACTCTACCATGAAGAGCATAATAAAATTATTAATTTAAATTCCATGGTCAATAATTTCTGAACATTAATTGAGTAATTAATTTTTAAGCACTTGAATGATAAATTTGTCTAGAAAAAAGTAAAATAATATTTAATAGTTTTGTGTTTATAGGAGTCAAAGCTGTACCTTTTTTTTTCTTTTATGAACTATGTTTTGATCAATAGCCGTTTGGATTGAAACCACAAACCTATCTTTATCTTTTGCGTTGTAATAAGTGAGCTTTTATGTTAATTAATGAGCAATAGCAAGAGGCAAATGGGGCAGGTTGGTGGCTTTAGAGAAGTCTTGACAGAGAAGGGGAAGGCCGATGAGATTTGTTTGTCTCCTCTTTGCTTTTAAGCCTACTCTTTTTCTTTTCCCCAGCCACTTCTCTCCTCCCTTTGTAAGTAGACCATAATTTATAGTGAGAAAAATGATTTAAATGCATACAAACTATAGTTTTTTAGGTAATTTTGGGGATTCATCATATAAAGCTGGAAATAAAAGAAGGGAAAAGAAAAGGCATTTGGATTCCATTTAGGACTTTAAGCTGCTGTTAGCAGTTAGCCAGCGAGCAATTTGTGCTTCATTCAGCTTTAAACAATGTAAATGGAAAGATCAAGAGGTGGTAAACAAGATAGAAAATAGATTAAAGCTATGTTTGAGTTGAGATTTTTAGCTTAGAAAGACATGAATCATATGATGAGATGAAATTGTCTTACTAGCTCCACATGCACAGCCCAGCAAGATATCATTTATAATGTCAGCTTTATACAAGTTAGTAATTTTATGATTATTTTACAGATTAGCGAAGAACAATATTTTTGCTGGCTTTCATTAATCTTGTTCTTCTCAAGCCCTTTAGCTGAACATGCAGATCTAAAGTGTTACCATTAGTTTATAGATTACAAAAACATCTACCCCTGCGTGTATTTGAGAAGGAATATGAGCACAATGACCTGTCACATATATGTAGCTGTCAACCCTAGTTTTCTGCAAGAATTTTAAGCCATATTTATAACATATTATTATTAAAATATAATTATATATACCCACCGTTTCTTAGCTTAGTTGGTGGGCCTGTATGGTTGGGTACCCCCCAACTCATGTTCGATTCCCCTCGAGCATCACCGTCTTTTAAGTGGGGCCCAATCAAGTACTGATCAGGAGGTTTCTAGGGTGGGTGCCTCTTCTAGATCAGCTGAGGATTAGTTAAGACTTGAAGCTACATGTTACACCGAGGATTAGCCATATTTATAACATATTATTATTAAAATATGATTAAATATACACACCGTTTCATAGCTTGGTTGGTGGGCGAGTACGGTTGGGTAACCCCTAACCCGTGCTCAATTTCCCTTGAGCGGCGCCAGTGCCTCTTAAGTGGGGCCCAAACAAGTGCGGACAATGAAGTTTCTGGGGTGGGTGTCCCTTGTGGGTCAGCCAATAATGTTATAAAAAATCTGACTACAAATAATAAAAAGTAGCCATTATTTTTCCTAAGAAAGAAATTACTTGAAGCTCTCCTAAGAAATTCATAGAGACCTAGAGAGAGTCATAATAGAATCATTTGATCGGCCATAAGAGTTTGCAAAATGATGACGATAATTGATTGATTAAATAGATATACTTTTAAGATAGAAAAAAGTTTTTCTAATATGAGTTATTAGACATTCTGGAAAAGATCATAATCTGCTGATCATTTATTAATTTCATGAAAATCCCTTGAGATTTAACATACAAGATAAAAATACTATAGAATAATCTTATATCCTTTCAAACTTTAGTTAAATATTTTTGGAGTTTGATAAAGGGGCAATGACCCTTTAAATATTTTCCTATTATTTATAGAGGATGCCTATCAACTAAGAATTTACCAAGTAGCAACAAGTGAAATTCAACTATTAATTTGTTCCTAACTTTTTTATAGAGCATCAAAACCCTCATGGGAAGAATGTTTGAGAGCATGCCTTATTACTAATAAAGAATGTTTGAGATAATTAATTTAGATCCCCCCGAAGACTCTTAGTGTATGCCTAATCACCACCGAAGACTCTTATATATATTCTTTTCTAAAATTTTATTAAAATAATCTTATGGCACATATATTTAGCCTTATAATATTCTATGTAAATTTTTTTTTCATGACTTTAAAAAAATTTGATCACAATCATAAAGCCTAAAATTCATAACCTTCTGATATGAGCAAATATTTCTCAACTAGTATACTAAAATGAGCTGCATTATATAAAAAATAAATTAATATAATATATATTTTTTCAAATTTAGTATTTGTACTATGTGACGATTAATTTTTATTGCTGCCCTATTTGAGTTAAGATTTTATTTGGGACAGCTTTTTTATTGTTATCTAAAGTAACTTTCAAGTATACAGATTTTTAATTCAAAAACTTTTTTGCAGTTAAAAGCTGTTTTAAAAAACAGTAAAAAAATTATCCCAAACAAATAGAAATATATATATAGCAATGTAGATGACAAGTTGAAGGCCCACCAAGGTCGGTGGCACATCTTAGCAAAAGGGCAGCATAGTTTTTGGGCTTTGAAAGCTTTAGCACAGTACTGGACCCATTGTGGGTTTCAAACTTTGCTCCATAAATATGGATCGGTTAATTAAGTTCTTAGATAAGCCCAGTAGTGGGCGGCCTTTTTAGTGGGTTAGTGGGTCTTAAACGGGTCATCTATTCATCACGAACTCCCATGACTTCTGGCCGGGAAGCAGAGTATTTAAAAAGATGACATGTTTTTCTATGACTTGTGACTATATTAATAATTATCAATCACATTAAGACTTCGTTTGGAACGGTTTTTTGGATACCTCTTAAAGCAGTTTTTTAGATTTTTACACAAAAAAATTGCTTTAAGAAACCGTGAGAAAGCAAAGCTTCGTTTGTGACTGTTTTTTTGCTGCTTCTTAAAGCAGTTTTTAAGTACAAAATTGCTTAAGAAAGCCGTCCCAAATGTGATTTCATTTAGCCTTTTTTGCTGTTTTTTAAAACGATTTTTTAATACAAAAATTTCTAATTCACTAATTTTTTTACTAGAAAACTATTTTATAAAGCAACAAAAAATTATCTCAAATGAAGCTTTATATTTATTTGCGTTATTGAAAACTCCAAGCAAGAGCCCAGAAATGTTTTCAGAATTTGTTTATTTTTTCCCCGTTGAGCTCAACTAGTCAACTTGCCTAAGTTTTATTTGGTTCTAACTAATTATTTATAGCAATACGTTATGAGCTTATGTGAATTTAAGTAGATTTGTGCATAAAAGATAAGCTTATGACACTTGATAGAGGATATTATATATACTTGAGTAGGAGTTGTAAAGTCTTCATCACACTCCAATATGAAACATAGAGGAGAGAATTTTTTATATTTGGAAAGAGAAATTTCAAGTGCTAACTCATATACAATACTTTTCTCTAATTGTTCAGACGAATGTTATGCTTGCTTGTGTGGTGCTGCACAATTTTATTGGTCATTAATAAGGACATACTATGTTGAGAATAAAATCATGTAATGAAAAAAAAAAAAAAAAATAGAGAAAAGAACACCAAGATTTAATGTGAGAAAAAAAAAATAGAGCTGCATCACAATAAGAAATTCAGTAGAAAAATGAGATAAATTATACAGATTTTCTTTCACATTCTCTCATTATCTCTCTTCACTTTCACACGGTTATTTACTCCAAATACACAAAATGAAACACTTCTGTTACATAAAGGATACAATGCTTGAATTGGAATAATAAGATTAAGAATGAAAAACGGCTTAGCTTGACTGCGTTATGAATTATAATGCTATGGTACTGAGTTCACAGTGTTGCAGCACCCTGTTCTCTGTCTCAAAGGAATTTCATAGCGCCTTGACGCTAAATTTACAGCATCACGGTGTTGTGTGGATATGAAATTTTTATTTGAGACTTCTCCCCAAATCCCCTAAGCAAGGGGAGCAGGCTCCTCATCGAGCTTGATTGACATAATTGAGATCTTAGTCAATAGCACAACCCAATTGATCGACACATTCAAATTCCACACAAAAACTAACATTCTACATTTAAATATATCTCAAGTTGAGATGCAACATGATCACGAGTTGGGTGATGTAGAAATCGATAGTGATGACCCTAACATAAATGTAGATGTTTTTGCGAGAATTTCAAAATATGTTATATGACATGTGATAGATCGGTCTAGCCGGCCCAAAACTAGGGTTGGCTCCTAGTTTATTACAGGCGGACTACAGGAGCCACAGGCCCCCTTATGGCGCTCATACCTTGATGGAAATTTCAAATTGGAGGGGGCAGTTTATGAGGGAAATTATTCTGGGAAAGGCTATCTAGTAATTATGCTTTTATTTGTATTCTTTAAATAAGAGAGTAAGGGTTAGGGTTATGTGATGCTTTGCTATTTTTGAGTTTTATTTTAGGTGTTTTGGGCTTTAGCCGCTAGCTAGAGATTTGGAGAGCCGGATCTTCCTCTCGAATTGGAGATTCATTGTATCCAGCTTGTTTTCTTCCACTTTTCATCCACTACAGGAAAATCCACTATTACCGGCGGATTTGTAATAGCGGATTTGGAGAGCCGGAACTCCGTCGGAAAATCCGCCGGAAATTTGTGACGAATTTACTTCCGCCGGAAATTCTGTCGGAAATGAGCTGTTTTCTTGTAGTGATCTATCAAGTTTTCTTAGCGTTTTACCAAGGGATTTATCTCAAAATTTGCTTGAATCTACCTGAAATTCCAATGCTTTCTTGATTCTTGCACTTGTTTCCTATCAAATTGGTATCATAGCACTTTCTTGGGCAAAAAAATAAGTTTTCATCAATGTTTTTGCAATTAGAACTTAGATTCAATTAATGACAACAAAGAAGATGGATGCGTTGGAAGACAAAATGAAAACTCAAGGCTGGAGTAGATGAAAAATATTCTGGGGTGGAGGGAAGACTCTCGTCCATCGAGAACCACTTTAGGAAATTTGAACATATGATGAAAAATATGCTTGAAATGCAATCAAAATCATCACCAATGATACGTAGGGTGGAACCACAAGGAAAGGAGATCCAGGAGGACGAAGATGAATAGGGAAGTGTTTTTCATTGAGGACTGTCACATGGACCCCCGTTGGTGGGCGGATCGGGTTATTTCAATGAGAGGACAACAAGAAGGAAGGAAGCCGGATCTAGGTTTTGCTAATTTGGGATAGAATTGATCCTAGTTCTGGCTTCCTTGCCTTTCAAGCATAAGAATTCCATCTAAAAAAGAAAATCCCTCTTTCTTGCTTCTTCGCTGCCTATGATAGCTTGACCAAACATTGTTGGCACCTAAGTTAGGTTTTCAGTTCATAAACATACTTATGTTTGGCTAATACTTCCATTTGATTTCTAGATATTTTTATGATAAAATTTTGTTTTTTAATCCGATCTATTGATATTTAGTAGTGTTAAGAAAGAAGTTACCAAATTTTTTTAAGAAAATCATACTTATTGTTGCGGGCTAGAATATTAGAGGCGGTAGAGTTTACAAATTCACGTCAGAGCGTTGCACGAATATTCAGCACACAAACATAAAAGAAAATGAACACCAGGATTTTTACATGGAAAACCCGAAAAAGGGAAAAACCACGGGGCTGTGCCAGTTGAAAAGTTCCACTAGTGTTTTTGTAAATTACAAGAAGCTGATTGGTTCCACAAGTCAGGACGATTATATTATGACCTGTTTCTTCTAATTTGAAGCAAAATTACAAAATTCTGCAGAATTCAGGCGTCCCCCGAAAATCTGGCAGAGTTCCGGCGTATTCAGACGGCGGAAAGAACTCCGGCGGTGGTTGAGGAGGAGATGATTCTCCCTTTCCCCTTCTTCTCTTCTCTTCTTCTCTTTCTTCTCACTTGAGTCCTCTTGTGAAGAATGAGGGCTCTATATATAGTTTTTCTGGAGTTGCATGGCTTGTAAATAGGTGTGAGATCAGGGGCGAATAGGGAGTGGTCGAATGGACGGTTGATGTTGAACCCTTCGATCGTGCACCGTTTGTTGGACATTTGAAGGCCTTAATGATGTTGGAATTCGGTGATCTTGGGCTCGTTGTATTCTTCTCGTCGAGCCTTTCGATTCGAGTATAAGCTCGTTAAAATCGGAGACCGGTTGGTAACTCAAATTGTGGTACGAGCTTTCCAACAGCACTTCGGGCGCTTGAATTGGGCTCATTTGGACTCGGACTGAGTTGAATTTGGTGTTGTTGGGTTCGTATTTCCGAGATGCTCAGTTTGACTGTAAGCTTGCTGAAATCGGAGTTTGGGTGTTCCCGGAATTAATTTTTGAATTTTTTGGGTTGGGTTTTGCCTCGAGATTCGTGCCTGATCAAGATAATTTTTTGAGAATATATCACTTATAATACTCACATCCTTCAAGCTAATCAATATATATATGTTAGCTTGAATAACTTTTTTCTTACGGCTATCGTATATTATTTAGGCTTCGTTTGGGGCGGCTTTTTTACTGCTTCTTAAAGTAGTTTTTTTAATACAAAAATTAAAAAAATTTGTACTAAAAAGCTGCTTTATGAAGCAGTAAGAAAACCATCTCATTAGGCTTCGTTAAAAACTCCGTTTTAAAAAGCAATAAAAAAACCGTCCCAAACGAAGCCTTAGACTTCGTTTGGGACGGCTTTTTTATTGCTTTCTAAAACGGAGTTTTAGTACAAAATTTTTTAATTTTGTACTAAAACTCCATTTTAGAAAGTAATAAAAAGCAGTCCCAAACGAAGTCTTAGGCTTCGTTTGGGACGGCTTTTTCATTGCTTTTTAAAACGGAGTTTTAGTACAAAAATAAAAAAATTTGTATTAAGACTCCATTTTAGAAAGCAATAAAAAAACCGTCCCAAACGAAGCCTTAGTCTATTTATAAAAAGTAGCTCCCACCATTAAAATTCTAGAAAGCGGGTAGGAAAAAATCAGAAAGCAATACTGAAACGGAAGCATGACTACGGCCTAAAAAACAAACCAATAAAAATGCAATCTTGGAAGACCTTTTGGTCTACTATTTATGTGAGATATTGGCATCATTTTGCGTGTAATTATTTTTTAAAATTACTCTTATCAAACCTAAAAAATATAAAACCTTCTTCATTTAAATAGATGTTACCAACCATCTCTATAAACTATCAAGTATTGTGAATCGGTCTCCTCTTCAAAAAATAACAAAGATTCTGTTCGAAATGGCTCAGCTTTTTATTGTGAAGCTATTGTTGAGAAAATAATTTTTTTGATAGCTGCTATAGATATTATAAACATATTTGTTTTAAAAAAAAATTCAAGCATTTATTTTCTTAAATCTACCACACATTAATAATGATAATTATAAAAACAACTTCCCACTACATAAATTTTTAAAAAGTAACAATAAAACAATAAAAAAGTAATAATAATAATAATAAAAAAACTGTCAAAAATAGATCCTAACTAGAAATTTAAGAAGCATATATAATCATGCTAGATTTGTATAAATTAAAAAAAAATGAAGGGGATTAAAAAAAAAGAATCTAGAAAATTTAAATAAATATTTTGATTCAAAATTTCCACCCATCTCCAAATTGATAGTGTAGCCAACTGTCCCATCCCCACCTTCCTCGGGCAGCGATTCTTTAACTGTATCATATTTTTTTAATTGTTTTGTTTTGAAAAAATAAATAACAAAGTAAGAAACTTTTAAGGGAAATTTACATACATACCACTTTATTTTATGCTATTTATATATCTAACATTCGAAACATTAATATTACATATCTACCACCCATATACAACTTTAATATCAAATATAACACTCTTATAATTCATTTCTATCATTCATACCATCCTATAAATTTTAATATTTCATTTCATGCACCTAAATTTATTCTATGGATGGTAGGCATGTAATATTAATATTTTAGATGTTAGATGTGTAAATAGTATGAAATAAAGTGATATGTATGTAAATCTCCCAACTTTGAATAGTGAAAAAGGTCATGCATCACACCTCTCCTTTTTTTTATTCTCTCTCAACTCCGAGAAATTATTCTAAACGGATCATCCGGAGCCGAATCAAAACGTGCCATATCATCCGGTATATAACGGTACACAGTAAACGAGTGACATGATATGTTCTAATTCGCCTCTAAATGACGTTCGTATCCGCACAGAATAATTTCACCTTACAATGAGTTGTCATTAGGTGACCTTCGCTTGCATGGAGTTAGGTGAGTGCAGATAATTTTATACATATAATATGATGGATGGTCATGGATTGCTTCTTATTATAGTGAATTAATTCTTCACAAATATTTGGGCCACTTATAAATTATATGAAAGATGGTACAAGTACTGATGTGATGCAAATAACACTCATAATGAATATCCCCAAAACAGTAAAGAATGATATCAACAGCAATGAATACAAAACAACACTTGAATTCTGATATCATAATAAATAATATTCACCTCTAATGATACAAATATTCAATGATTATAACATCTTTCAAAACTAGAAGCGTGATTAAACAGAAATAAAATTAAGACAACAATACAAATAGATCAAAGTTCAAAAGCTGGCAGCCTAAGCAAAGCTTGTGGATCCATAACATTTTACAGCCAAAAAGAGGATGGTGGAAGCAAGATTGCTTTTTATTGCATGATGAAATTTCTGACTGTTCGTGGCTTGAATTGTTTTGGTGAAATATAAGCTTTCAAAAGTCTTCAGGCTGCAGAGGCCTTCTGGTTTGGCTTGAAGACGTATTTTATCAGTGATTGTTTAATCGGCAGAAGATCTGGAAATTCTGTCTTCAGTTTGGTGGTATCTAGTTCATTATTGCTCCTAGGAGCAACGATCACCTTCGCCTGCTCCTCTAGGGTAAAGTTTTTCCAAGAGAAGCTTGGATCGATGTACTCTCTGTACATCTCTAGGATTTCATTGTGGCTCACAACACCGGGGTTTGTGAAGTTCCAGATCCCAGTGAGGTTTCTCTTTGCCATTTCTATGGAGATGGGCAGGAGTTCATCCAAGATTGTCATTGAGTTAGGAATGTCAACAACCTTCTCATATCGAGTGATTTTCGTGATAAAATTGCGAGGATTTGATAAATCTGATGAGATTGGCATCCTCACACGCAGGGTGCAGACATTCTCATAATTTTTAAGCAGGTCTTCGACCTGTGAAGTCATTGAAAGATGCAACATTAGAACAGATGAGCCTTTCTGATTAACTTGAAGGCTGTTTATTGATGAAAGAACAATTTCAAAACCCTAAACCCTAAAGAAAAGAGAGTGAACAAGTGCCCGGTTGTTCATTCATATAGATTACAACTGTTTGGTTGAGGAAAACGTTAAGGAAAGTTATACAATTTCCTTTGATCATGTTTCAGTTTTCACCAATCTGATAAGTATCCCTATAGCCAGTTTATAGATGTTCTCCAGATTACTATCAAGAAAAATGTACTGAAAGGACTACATGGTATAAAATGATAACCACTAGAAAGGACTTTGAATAAAATCTGGTTATCTTATTTTAATAGAGTAGTTTCTTCAGTGCTTTATTGCAATTACCAACGTAACTCGAAGTATGTCTAGACAATACCTTCCACAACTGCAATTTATAATCTAGCTATGATACATTGTTGCTCTAAATATCTTAGCTTCTCCAGTTTCTTAATAGTTTTCATTCCTCAATCCCAAAAAACTTTTTTTTCACAGATGGTCCACAATTCCACATCTCAGACTAAGAAAGCAACATATTATTCTGCAATACCTTTCTCAAACATTGGATATATATTAAAGATAAAAACAAGAGTCACAAAGATTTTTTTGCAGTGCTTGACTACTTACAAAGTTGCTTAAGAGCATTTGAAGAAGGGTAAATTGGTTTACGATAATTATCAAAATAATATAAAAAAAATTATAAAAACAGCGGAAAATTTTAAGAAAAAATTTAGAATTGGTTGAACAAAGCCTAAGAACATGAAACACAACTTCAGAGAATATGCACTGACAACTATCAGTCAACACTATGTTTAGATTAAGTAATACATAAGTGATAAATTAAAGTATTAGATGTACAACAAAATAATATTCTATAGCTAAATTTTGGTGGTAAAAATGAAAGAACTGTCTTTGGATTACTAAACAACAATATCAATGATAGTTTGGGGTAAATTTTACAACATTGTAATTAAATCAACTATATTATAAGGATCTGAGCTTTGGGGAAATAGTTTACAAGAATTGAGTGAAGTAAAAATGAAAATTTCAAGATAGATGAGTTCCAAAGATAAGAAGAATAACGTCACAAATATTGTATTTCAAAGATTAGGAAAGTAGCAAACATTCAGATAAAACTTATGATGAAACCAAAAAAAAAGCTGACCATATATATGTGAACGGATTAAAGGCAGATGATGATGATGATGAACATATTAAATCCAAGGTACAATATGTGAACATCAATCAACGATAGATTATTAAATTCAAGCTGAATAATGTGAACATCAATGATAGACTATCTAAAAAAAACAAAAATCACTAAAAAAACTGCATCATTTTTTACTGAAAAATATGAGGGAAAAAAAAAAAGAGAATGATAGACCAATTATTTTCTCCAAAATCCAAAAAGCCAAAACTTCCATTGTTGGAAGCATTTAAAGGCCTTATAAATGTCTAAGCACTAGATCAGTAGACATTTTAAATCAATATGATAGACTATCATAACAATTTTAGAGAGTCAATAGAAGTTCTAGGAGGCTCTTCAATTCTAGGGTTGGTTAAATGTGCAACTTTTAATTTTATTTTTACCAAGATTTCCTTTCCATTCCAGGGGACAACGATGAAACTATGTGTTTAACCGGTCCAGCCGGCCCAAGTGTACAAGAGGAGAACCAAGCAGGTCTGCCCTCTTGGAATTGCCACCCAAGAGTTTGAGTGGGGCCCGCTGGGGAATTCAATTAAGGAGGAGGGGACGGCTAGGGCTAGGGAGGATTTTGGCTTATGTGGTTTAATTGTATGCTTTAAGTAAAAAGAAAATATTAGGGTTAGGGTTATGGAATTATTGTGGTTGTTTTGTGTTCTTGGAGTTTGGCATCTTGGGCCCTAGTGGCGTCTAGGGATTGGGAGAGATAGATCGTCCTCTTGAATAGAGGATTGATTGTATCTTGGTATTTTCTTCTGTTATCTTTAATTATTGTAATAAAATTGTTGTTTTCCAGGTTTTCCCTCGAAGTTTGGAGGAGATTTCTCACAGTTTTTGCAAGGATTGATAGGGTGTACTTGAGATTTTCAAGTGTTTCCTATCATAATACTTGTCTTCAAGTCATTAAGGATATGTATACAGTAGCTGTTACTTGTGTCAGAAACAAGATGGTTTGACCAAGTATTTTCCTGTTTCAGTTGGATTACACCAAGGATTAGCCTTAAGCCCATATCTTTTGCTCTAGTCATGGATGTTCTCACTAGACTTTTGCAAAAGGTTGTATCATGGTGTATGCTTTTTGCTGGTGATATTCTTCTTGTTGATAAGACTAGAGAGGGAGTTGAAGATAAACTTGAATTATGGAGGTTAACTTTAGAGTCTAAAGGCTTTCGTTTGAATAGATCTAAAACTAAATATATGGAGTGTAATTTTAGAAAGAATAGTTCTAGTGGAGGGATTGTGACTTTGGATGATCAAGTCATAATAAGCATACACGTTTTAGATATCTTAGGTCTATTGTTTAGAGTGATGGTGAAATAGATGGGGATATTATTAGTAGAATTTAAGTTGGATGGTTGAAGTGGAGGAATGCTTCGGACATGTTGTGTAATAGAAAACTCCCCCTCAAACTTAAGGGAAAATTCTATAATATGGTGGTTAGAACTGCAATGCTTTATGTTAGAGAATATTGGCCATTAAAAGAGAAGCATAATATTAAGTTAAGTGTTGTAAAGATGGGGATGCTCAAGTGGATGAGTGGCTTTACTCTTAGATATAGGATACGAAATTAGAATATACGTGAAAATGTTGGAGTTGCTCCAGTGGAAGATAAGATTAGAGAGAGTCGCTTTAAATGATTTGGTCACATAAAATGGCGGCCTTCCGATGACCCGATTAGGAAAATAGATGTATTAGATTTGACTTATGTTAAGAACGGTAGAGGTAGACCTAAAATACTTGGTAAAAAAATATTAGAAATGACCTTTCTTTATTAGATTTAAATGAGAATTTAACTTTTAAAATGACACAATGGAGAAAAATGATTCATGTAGCTGACTCCACATAGAGGGATAAAGGCTTGATGTTATTGTTGTTGTCGCCGTCTTTCATCAAACTAGATTAAGCATGCAACCACAATCAAATTACTATTACAACAATACGAGCACAAAGTGAGAAGTTTGACTCTAATTCTAGTTATACCAACAAATCTAGACTCTTAACTTAAAGAAAGCAAGAGAGGGATCTTATGGAAAGTACTAATCTTGTGAAGAGCTTAACACAACTAGTGGCTTGTTCATAGATAACTGAAGCCAACCTCCAGGAATAGTCCATTGTCATAATGATCTCCTTTCTTCCTTGAAAGCTCTTAACCAAAGGCTGTGCATTCTCACACTGAAAAGTTCCATTACTTGAGAAAGGGAAGAACACATGGAGTAAACAATAATGTAAAAGGAACTCAACTTTCTAGTAACATAGCATTACAGCTAAAGAAGTTCAGATGAACTCATATACATAGCCCAAAAGAACACAACTACCAATAGCCATTCAAAGCTAATGAGATAAAGTTCATTAAAAGAAAAAGATAGTGGATAAGTCAAAATTGGTAGTGGGTGAGTAAAGAAAGATGGTGAAGTAAAGAAAAAAAAAAAAAAGAAATGGCAAAAAACTGAAAAGATAGTGGATGTTCATAAACTACCACCATCATAATTTTAAGCAGGGTGGGTGGGTAAAAAATATTAAAATAACCTCTAACTCAACAATACACAAAATTAAACATAACCCATGACCTAAACTGAACTAAAAGGACATAAAATGACCAAAATACAATCAATTACAGATGTGAAAACACAAGGGTTCAATGAAAAAATCATGAAAAATAGGAGTGCAACTTGAAACTTAATTATATAATCTAAGACTCTGTGTCTTGTATAAAACAATCTCCAAAGTGCTCTTGCGTTACATGGAGTCAATCAAATTCATTAATCTCATGTCCACATTAAAACCAAGACTTTTAAGCTAAGTTAATGTCATTTGGCTTTCCATTCAGTACTACTCAGCATGAATAAAGTTAAAAGTGATCCCAATACTCACATAAGGCCAAACAAGGCCATAAAGCTTCACAAGCCTTTCAGGTAGGCATCATTAATAATGTAAGCCTAATCAAGTTGCCTTAACAAGCTCCAAAGTGCTCTTGCATAACATGGAGTCAATCAAGTTCATTAATCTCAGATCCATATTAAAACCAAGACTTATAAGCTAAGTTAATGTCATTTGGCTTTCCATTCAGTACTACTCAACATGAACAAAGTTTAAGGTGAGCCCAGGACTCGCATAAAGCCAAACATGGCCATAAAGCTTCACAAACCTTTCAGGTAGGCACCATTAATAATGTATGCCTAATCAAGCGCCTTGCCTTAAGGAGATGGGTGCTAATACTTTAAACATTTAAAATGAATTAGATTACAGAACAATACTTTGGCATAAAGTGATTTGAAAATGGGTATTAAGAGTATTAAAAATAATGATATGCAACAATAGAAAAAAGATACACAAAATGTAAGAGCAAGAGCTTCAAGTTCTACAAAGAAAAGAATGTGAGAAGAGAAAGTAGAAAATGGATGGTAACAAATAAGGAAGAAGGGAATGAAGGATGGTAAGGATGCATAAAAAATATGGAATAGTAAATTATTGATAGATTATGCATGCTACAAACTTAAGTAATTTACTACATAGTTTAAAATTATCTATTTGTCAAACATTTTAAACTTGAAATACAAATGAAATTGAAAAATTCATAACTTTTCTCCACATGCACAAATGTTTTGATTATCCCTTAAAAACTCTTAAAAAAGATTTATCATACTTAAATTTAGTTTATAAATGACATATTTATTATTTTTAGAGCCTCATTTCGCTAGGCCATAAAGCTTTCAGGTAGGCAACATTAATAATGTATGCCAAATCAAGTGCCCTGACTTAATCAAGGGGATGGGTGTTAATACTTTAAACATTTAAAATGAATTAGTTTTCATGACAATAATTTGGCATGAAGTGATTTGAAAATGGGCATTAAGAGTATTAAAAATAAGGATGTGCAACAAAAAAAAAAGACACTCAAAATGTAAAAGCAAGAGCTTCAAGTTCTACAAAGAAAAGAAGGTGAGAAGAGAAAGTCAAAAATAGATGGAAACAAATACACAAAAGGAAGAAGGGAATGAATGATGGCAAGGATGACATAAATAATATGGAAAAGTAAATTATCGCTCGATTTTGCATGCCAAAAAAATTTATAATTTATTATCTAGTTTAAAATTATCTATTTACCAAACATTTTAAACTTGAAATACAAATGAACTTGAAAAAGTCAATAACTTTTCACCACATGCACAAATGTTTTGATTATCCCTTAAAAACTCTTAACAAAATTATCATACTTAAATTTAGTTTATAAATGACATATTTATTATTTTTAGTGCTTCATTTCGCTAGGTTAAATGCATAGGGTGGTGCTTAATGCCTTGAGCTTTGTATAGCCCCATCAACAAATTAAGAAGTACCTAGCACACTTTAACATGCTACTTTGCAATTCATTTAGGCCATGCGGTAATTAAAAATTGGAAGTATTGAAAGAAAAATAAGTTTAAGCATCTCCTTGTGATATGGTATATAATTATTTTAAATAATAAAGCACCAAGAAATTATTTACATTTAATTTTTGGTAATAATTTGCCTCCAAACTAAGAAATTCTCTGGGTAACATAACTATTTAATAGATTAACAACCCATCTTCACAACAACTAAACATACATAAACGGCAATGTATAACAGCATTTTAATCTTTCCAATGAACCTTTGAAAGCTTTGAATCACGCTTAGCGCGCTCAATGTTTCAGACCCACGAATATATGAGATGATTTCCAGATCGCGTGAAATACTTATTACTCAAACCTCCTACAGAGTCCCATCCCTAAGCATTGGTGCTTTCAACCAAAACATCACAACCTAAGATCTACATCCTGAAAGACAAAGTCCCCCAGTTTTAGTAAAATGGCATCCGTGTTACTCTTTAGCAACTAGGAAGCTAGGCATGTTGCTTGCTAGTTTCTTACGTTCAATACATTTATATTGGTTTTCACTAATTTCTTTCCTTTCAAATCAGAAACAGAGAAGTTAAGAAGATAGTGCTTATTGACCTACAAACAGAAATTCAATGCATTAAACTCAAGAAGTAGATCTGTTTGCACAAATCACAAAAAAAGATCTTAGCATGCTACAACCTGGTGCCTTATCCATCTCTACAAATCCGCCAAAAATCAACAATCCGTTCCTCGAGTCAACTAAATCAAAAGAGAGCACATCGCTCTAAAGACATTCTTCACCCCAAACATCTAGCAACAAAGAGTTTTCTTCTTGAATTATCACAAAAAAAAAAAAAAGGAATTGAACCCAAGCTACCAAGAACTGACATCAAATAAAAGCACAAAAAACTGCACTTGTCAAAATTAATCAAGATTGCATGTCATATACCATGGCCTTCGTCTTAGAATAGAATGAACCGACGAAGTTGGGCGTGTCCTCCTCTCGAAACCCGATCCCAGACCCCAGCAAGTGTGTTTCATCGTATTCGAAGATGCAACCAGTGGCATAGTTCAGAAGAATGAGGCCGCGCTCCCTGCAGACATCAGCCAGCGTCAGAGTCCCGACCACGTTGGCACGAATCGTCTCCACCTTGTGGGTTTCGCACCAGTCCACGTTCGGCCGCCCCGTGACACCGGCAGCGTTGAATACGTGAGTCGGCGACACCGATCCAATGTCAGCTTCCAACTGCGCGCGATTCTCCAGCCTCCCCAATCCGTAAGCATAGGGAATACCTCGTTCCTCACATAGCCGGCCGAGCAAACCGCCGATCCACCCCGTTTTCCCATAGATAAGGAACTTGAGGGGAGTGGAATCTCCGGAGCCGTTTGTAAGGAGGCCCATGGTCGGAGGTAGCATCCGGCGGCGGTTGTCGGGATCCGGTTTGCTGCCGCCGACAAAGAGAAACAAGTAGGGTCCGGATGCAGAAAGTTATTGCGGGGCAAGATGAGATCTCGGAGGGTGTGGTGTTTGTAAGATTTTGCTATTCTCACGCAGATTTTAAATGCGTGGAGTGATCTGAACGGAATGTGCTCACATTTAAATCATTGAAGATGGGCTGGTAGTGAGGAACGGAGATGGCTGCCTGCTGCGAGAAATTAACAAATTATTATGGGCAGAGTCCGGATTTAGCTCTGCCTTCTGATTACAAGAGAACATTTTTTTTTTATATACATTTAGGCATTTAAGGCAAATTAATACATTATTATGGGCAGAGTCATGATTTAGCACTGCCTCTCCTTCTTATTATAATTCAGAGAAATTTATATACATATCATTTTATATTATTTTATTTATATATTTAAAACTTAAAATTTTAATATTACATATATATTATCAGATATTATTTTAATATCAAATATATCACTCATATTTCCTTCCTACCACTCATATTTGATATGAAAGTAAAATATGGGTGATATGTATGTAAAGTTTCCTATAATTAAATGGTGACATGTGATTTAAAGATTTGAATATTTAAATTGAATTTTGTTTTTAATTTTTGTCTTATCAGCCCAATTGACACAACCCAGAGGATTACAGCTTGTTCAAATTTAAGATTTAGGATTGATGCTCTTTTTTTAAATAAAAATAACAACAAAAGTTCTGAAATATATAGGATTTTAGCTCAATAAATTGTTGATATATGTTAAAAAAAACGACGAGAAGCTGATGAAGATGAATAATGATTTAGAGAAGGACGTCCATTCTTTGAGAAAGATGAAGAATTGAAGTTAAAAGAGCTATATCATGAAGGAAGAATAGTTTTATTTTGTATACTTGGGTAATATGTCGAGGGTCCGAGGGGGCCATGCCCCTCGGCTGGGTTCAACCTTTTTTGTATGTGTTCATTTGTGTGCTCTAGATCACTATTTATTTTTCTCTTCGTCAATAGTTTATTAAAAAAATTGTTCCTTACAAGTTCAGCTCTGAATGCACATTAGATAATACGCAACAAATACGCATATAACATGCATAAATACGCAACAAATATGCAGCTAATATATAACAAATATGCAATAAATACGTATCAAATATATAGTTGTTGCGGGCTAGAATATACGCGGCGATAGAGTTAGAAAATTTTTGTCTCAGCGTTGTACAGATATCTAGCACACAAACATAGGATAAATAATAACACCAGGATTTTTACGTGGAAAACCATGGAAAGGGAAAAAACCACGGGGCCACGTCCAATTTAAACAATTCAACTAGTGTTTGCTTAAGGTACAAGAGGCTGACTCGTCCTTAAAATTTAAGACGATCAAATTACAATGCTTCACTTCTGTTGCGTCCTGGAGTATCCGTGGCGGTAGAGAAAAGATATAGTTTAAGGTCTTAGCATTATACGAAGATCCAGCACACAATCAGATAAGAGAGAGGGTGTAGCATTCATAAGAGACACTAGAGTTTTTACGTGAAAACCCCTGAAAAAAAAGGGAAAAACCACGGGGCCTGGCCCAGTTTGAATGAATCCACTAGTATTTGCAGTCGATTACAAATGAGGCCCTTCCTTGGGAGAAGGCCTTGGCTTGATGGTACAAATGTACATCATATAGAGCGTATTACATAGTGGGAGTTACAATAATATACATGTTTGTTTAGTTGGAAAGGCTGTAATTGGCACGAGATGAGGGTCCGAAAGACCGTAGTTGATAGGAGATTGGGGTCAAGAAGACCATTGTCTGGCGATGTAGGTCGGAAGGACAGTAGTGTCGGACCACCGCCAGGCCGCCGACCATCGCCTAACCACCGTCTAGTCGCCGACCGCCGTTGGACTTCAGCCCGGCCATTGCCGGGCCACTGCCTGGCCGCCGTTCACCTTCAGACCTTCATCGAATCGTTCCTTGTTAGCCAAACTTTTGCACAAAACCCGTCGAATTTTTGTCCGACCGTCATCAGTCATTTGACTAGCTCTTCAAATTACTGTAATTTGACCACCTGTAAATCAAGAGACGGGTTAACTCTTGTAATTCACTGAAGTTTAGTTGAATCTTTTCACCTGAGCGAGGCCCCGTGGGTTTTCCCTCTTCGGGTTTTCCACGTAAAAAAGATCGGGTGTCTTAATCTCTCTCTTTCTGCTTGCGTGTTGGATCTTCGTACAATGCTAAGACGCTAAACTTTATTTTTCTTTATCGTCGCGAATATTCTTGGACGCAACATATATGAAAATAAAATATGCGCGGTTTGTATGTAAAGTTCCCTATAATTAAATGGTGACACGTGATTTAAAGATGTGAATATTTAAATTGAATTTTGTTTTTAATTTTTGTCTTATCAGCCCAATCGATCCAACCCAGAGGATTACAGCTCGTTCAAATTTAAGTTTTAGGATTGACGCTCTTTTTTTAAATAAAATAATAGCAAAAGTTCTGAAATATATAGGATTTTAGCTCAATAAATTTTTTATATATGTTAAAAAAAATGATGAAGAGCTGATGAAGATGAATAATGATTTAGAGAAGGACGTTCATTCTTTGAGAAAGATGAAGAATTGAAGTTAAAAGAGCTGCATCCTGAAGGAATAATAGTTTTATTGTGTATACTTGGGGAATATGTCGAGGGTCCGAGGGGGCAGTGCCCCTCAGTTGGGTTCAACCTTTTTTTGTATGTGTTCATTTGTGTGTTCTAGATCACTATTTATTTTTCTCTTTGTTGATAGTTTATTAAAAATATTGTTCCTTACAAGTTCAGCTTTGAATGCACATTAGATAATACGCAACAAATATGCATATAACATGCATAAAATTCGCAACAAATATGCAGCTAATACATAACAAATATGCAGTAAATACTTATCAAATATATAGTTATTGCGGGCTAGAATATACGCGGCGATAGAGTTAGAAAATTTCGTCTCAGCGTTGTACGGATATCTAACACACAAACATGGGAGAAATAATAACACCAGGATTTTTACGTGGAAAATACTGGAAAGAGAAAAAATCATGGGGTCACGCCAAGTTGAAACAATTCCACTAGTATTTACTTGAGGTACAAGAGGCTGACTCGTCCTTAAAATTTAAGACGATCAAATTACAATGCTTCACTTACGGATTGAAATCCAATTACAAACAAGTTGTGTATTCAAGTTGAATTTAGAGTCACTTAGAATTCTGGTGTCACTTGAAAATCGGGCAAAGTTACGACGTCACTTGGGAGTCAGGTAGAATTCCGGTGTCACTTGGGCATCGAGCAAAATTCTGGTATCATTTGGGCGTCGGGCAAAATTTTGGCATCATTCGGGTGTCGGGCAGAATTCCAGTGGTGGTCGAGGAGTTTATTTTCCCTCCTATCCTTCTCTTATTCTTCTTCTTGTTTGGATCCCCTCTCAAGAGAAATGAGGGGTCTATTTATAGATTTTTTGGAGTGGCATGGCCCGTAAATAGACGAGAGATCAGGGGTAAATGGGCGAGTGGTTGGATGGATGGCCGATATTGAATCCCTTGATCGTGTACTGTTCGTCAGGCATTTGGAGATTTTAATGATTTCAGAATTCGGCCATCTTGGGCTCATTGAATTTTTCTCGTTGAGCCACTCAATTCGACTATAAGCTCGTCATGTTTGGAAACCGTTTGGTAACTCAAATTGTGGTACAAACTTTCCAATAGCGCTTCGGGTCCTTGATTTGGACTCATTTGGGCTCGATTGAGTCGAATTTGGTGTCATTGGGTTTGTATTTCCGAGACGCTCAGTTTGACTGTAAGTTTGCTGAAATCGGAGTTCAGGTGATCCCGTATTTAATTTTTGAAGTTTCCTACTTGATTTTACCTTGAGATTCTTACCCAATCAAGATAATTTTTTGATGATATATCAATATTAAATACACAATGAGGTTATATTGAAAGTTTTTCAATAATTTTTTTTTTCTTACAAGTTTAATTATGGATGCACATCCAATATACTGAATGAATAACATTGTAAATACATGTGAAAGCACATGTTCATGTTCAATAACGTATCGAACTAAAACAACTCATGTTATTACAATGAATGAAGTCTGTTTGAGTTATTATACAAATTCAATAACATATTGAACCAAATACAAGCTTGAATCAACATTGAAAACGCACAAGAATTTGAGAACTAAAAGTTGACATCATTTCTTCAAATAGTAAAGCAAATATGAATATAAAGAAATTAAATAAGCAATATGGTTTTTAGACAAATAGACTTGTTTTTTTCATAATATATCTTGTATAAGGTGGAAGGTAATTTTACGAAAGGAAGTAAACCTGCAATTAAACTCAAGAAATTATAAGTATTTCCTTTCAAACTATTTCAAAACTATCCAATATAATATGTAATAAATACATAACAAATACGAAATAAATATATAGAAAATATGCATCAGTACGCAACAAATACATTGATATAATCTAAGATACGTACTTATTGTGCGAGATTCGATTCGTTCTATTTTATTGATATAATCTTGCTTCAATTTATTGTTACACTTATCTCAAATTTTTTTTGAGGATTTAGTTTCGAGCTTGCAGAATTATTTGCAGATTAACCAAAGGAGGCGAACAATAACTAATAAAATAAATATGTAGCAAATATGCATCAAATACGCAGCAAATACATAGCAAATAAGCAACAAATATGCAGCACATACGTATATTTTCATTAAATAAAAAGACAAATATACTGACTTTTTCTATTTGAAAGATACGAATAGGGAGAGATTCAATTCGAGATTTGATTCATATATTTTATCAATATAATCTTGTTTCAATTTATTGTTACACTTATCTCATATTTTTTGTGAGGAATTAGTTTTAAGCTTGCAGAATTCTCAACAGATTAATCAGCGGAGGCGAAAAATGACTAATGTAGTAAATACACATGCTAATAAGCAGAAAATATGCAGCAAATACGCACGGAGCAAATACACAACAATTACGCAACAAATACGCAGATTTGGACGAAACAAAAAGACTAATAAAAGTGAATAATTTCTCCTCTACACTAATGTCTTCCACATCAAAGATAAGAATATGGCAAGAAATAGAAAATAAATATAAATATGCATTCAA